ACTAAATACGATTATTTATACCGAACCTAGCAACCGTCTGTTTAACGGCGGGACCTAACTCGACAGACGAGACTTTTATGTCGCGTTCAGTAATCAGTGGCGGAAATTCACTTTTTCCTGTGGGGGGAGGGGCAAAGCCTCCTAAATTTCCGACAAAACTTTCAAATTTCCGACATACCCCCATTTGCACTCGAAAAGACTGTTTTTAGCCCTCTTTTAGGTCAAAATTTCCGAAAATTTGTCAATTTTCCGTGAAGGTGGCCGGTGGGGGGTGGGGGCGGCCGCCTCCCCCCCACCAAGATTTCCGCCACTGTCAGTAATGGACTAATTTTTTCTGGTCTTTTCCGTTTCAGTTTTTGTACTTTCGGCCACATTTTTTTGTGCTATCTATTAATGTAGCTACCATGACCAAATCTGATATTCTAAAGCGTTGACATTGTATGTACGTATTGAAAAGAATAAAAGCATTTTCTGACTAGTTTACAATGCAGTATAGTAATATTCTATCTAATCTACTTAAAATCGTTCTAAATTTTTAAATTTCGGGCAGTTTGTAAATAGACTTGCTCCAAGCTCTCTCATTTTTCTCGGTGTGCCGTGCCTCTAGCTCATGAGATAGTCATCCAGAAGTTATGTAACCAACGAGCGAAACGTACGCGAAACCAGTTTTTACTGCCACCTGTACGATAGGAATTGGTAACTTTGAAGATCAACTCATTGGAAAGGGTGCTGCATGTTCCATGGAATCATTTGTTCATACAGGAATGTGTTACCATAGACGTTGTGATGAGTGCTATAGCCTTCTGTTTTAGCATCCGCGTTGTCGTTGCCTTTTTGGTAGGTAACGTAGTTCAACTGCTCACGACCATTAACATCCCCGAAATGACAATAAAACGAAATGAGAATGGCACGAGTGCTTTGGGGGAGAACAATTGGCAACTTCTGCGTGTATGTCGGTCTTACATTATGCAATTGAAGCTTCTCCAGCTGATTAAGAATCTAAATAACCAAAAAGTAGAGCAAGGAATAAGAAGAATCATCATCCAACGCGGTTTTTAATTACAAATCATACTTCACACCAGTGGCTTTGGCCTTTGAGGGCCCACACTAGATCTTATAACTGTAATGTTATTCTATTTGTATTATTTTTATCATGTGTAATTAAAAATATTAATTTCCCTCTTTGTTAATTGAAAGATGAAATACTGTACAGAATCGGTTATCCTAGTGGGAGGTTTATTCCTGCTACTACTTTCGGTTTATTGTTTTACCTTATTTGCGCGCTGAAGTCTCCATGTTCCCACAGGATGTGATTTTAGATCTCTAATCTGATCTTTCTGATTCTCGAGTCTAGTTGTCAACTGTTCAAATGATAAAAAAAAAACAAAATAAGAAAATATATAGTTTATGTATACATGCAACATTTTATTTAACGTATTTCTTCAACTACCGTCTTACTCAATGACCAATTAAGGTGGCTCGATATAGTTATCACAAAAACCCTGCTCAAGAATCGCGAACTCAAAACCGGGTGACCATTTTTACGCGCAGGTCGCGGAAACTGATTAACAAAATGAAAGAACTTCCAAATTGACCTGACGTGAGCAGTTGCTCGCGCCATATCACGCCATTGCGCGTGTTCTATAGCGTTTTATGTCAATTGCTGACGTCATTAGAATTTTCCATTTTAGAAAAACAATGCGCTATATCTCTTTATTTTGTCTGGTGACCTATGTTCAAATTTTGCATGCTGTATTGCACCGCTAAAAACTTTCATTATTCAAAAAATTTAAAAAACCCAATATCTACTGAATAAATCCTATAAATGCGTAGTTTGAACATGTCAAAGACAAGTGTTGAACACCTGAAAACTGTATCGAGCCACCTTAAGACCGTCTTTCCAGTTCATTTGGTGAGTATTTTTACCTTCATCAATCCTTTTGTAGGGCTTATATTACCTATTAGGAACCCATTAAAGTTCAAATGGATTTGCCACCACTGCAAAACAGCTTTAATTAAACGGGAATTGGACAATGCACAACTGCAATGACTGTATTTATTATTTCATATAAACTGCTATACGGACCTGAATAATTCAATATCAAAGGTGCGAGTTCTACTCTCGCAGTCCCGCTCGAGAAGATTTTCCAGTTAATGATGAAAAAGTCATTAGTATTGCATGCACTATAATTTGGGCAATATATCCACCTGTTTTAACGTTTCTTCGAGTTTCAATATCCTCTCTTCAGTTAAATAGTTCATCTTACATAAATCACCCGAGTACATAGGCGTACCGGGCGGGGGGGCGGGGGGGGCGGCCGCCCCCCCAGTTTTTTGGGCAGTCGGGCAATATTGGATCAACAGTCGGGCAATTTCGGCTTGCAATAAAAAAAAATGTGACAAATTCTGTAAATTTTGTCTAAAGTTAAGTCAATTTGTTGCCAAATTTTGTGATTTTTGAAAATTTTGTGTATGTTCCGAAAAATTGGTTGTCCGGAAACTTTTTTTGACCCCTAAAATGGTACACTGACCGAAATTTTTTTGGCGACGGGAGGTCGCCAGAAAAATTTTTCCGGAAAAATTTTTTGGTACTAGTCGGGCAAAATCCCGAAAAGTCGGGCAATTTTCTTTCCGCCCCCCTAATTTTTTCCTTCCGGTACGCCCATGCCCGAGTAGCCTGGAGGGCAGACGCACTTGAAGCCAGTTAGTATCGTCTTGCAAAAGCCACCGTTAAGGCAGGGGCATTTCAGTGTACAACACGGACCATAATATCCGCTTTTAAGATCGCAAATGCACGAGAAACAACGAAAACCATCGCGACAAATGCCGTTGTTTTGGCAGCTTGAACTGGTGCAGTCGTTGACGTCTTTTGAGAAGAAATTGTAAATCTTCAGTCGATCTCCAAGGTCTGTAATTCCGATGTCGTGAAGTTGTTTGAAAGTAAAACTGCCAAGCACAGTTTGATCTATGTTGTGCTTTTTCAGCTTGGCAACATAAGACAACACATCTGTTCCGTTAATCCCAGTTAATTTCAGCAGATCTTTGACTGTAGTCCCATAAACGCAGTGCGAAATCTGTCTGGCCAACGTTGCGCTGTGGACGAGCCCAAAAGTGATGCTGAGGAGTAATGCTACTGAACTTAGTTTCTCCATCACGACCAGCGTAATTAAAACTAACCTGATAGCGGCGTTACGAATCTGATGTATATATATGCTCTCCAATGATCTAAAATGCCTGCGCAGGAGGCAGAATACAGTCTGTCAACTTGTCATTTCTAAGTTGTAGCTGAAACAAAGTCCTTCATTTTATTGTGATGTTAAACCATTTTTAATCTGCGCAGCAAACCTTGACATGATATCGATCTTCATCTTTTCCATGATTGTTTTTAATGTTGGACTTCCTTAAATGATTCTTAATGATTCACACGAATATATCTGATATCATCGAACCGAAAGTAAACGAACCTATAGAAGACTATAGAACCATTAGAGCAAGAGAAAAATATTCAACTCAACTGTTATAGACTATTTTCCCACATTACAGTCGCAGGACAACCAACTGCACAAGCCACGTGACTGTAATTGGTCTTGTTGCATGCCAAGACAGTTGCTCAACGCATTGAAATGAAAAAACCTTCAGATAAACTATTTATCTTTTTCTTGAAGCCAAATTTTGCTTGAAGACCCGCGACTTTATATCATGATTGACCGATTGAGCGCTCACTTCGCATGCGTGAAAGACTGGGACAGGCCTTCAAGTTAGCGTTTCAGTTATATTCATTTCAATGGTTCATCTATAGCGTTAAAGCGAAAAGAAAACTGTCAAGCCGTATTATACAGCTACTGCGCATGTTCAAGTACAACTCATTCTCTCAGAGTAGATATCGGGTTCCAAGAAGAAGGACTTTACTCTTTAGTAATATTGCAAACAATGAGAGGTGAATGAACTAGTCATACTAATCATACTGACAACGATTCATAATTTGCAATCAGAGTTGCCAAGCTAAATGGATTTGGGTAAAAATCTCTATCATTCCAGCTTTTTTCTAAAAAAAACCCAAAGGAAGGACTCAGCATAGTTGAAATAATAAATAATTTTAAATGAATATTAAAATGAAGTAGATTCCATGCATCCAAAAATATCTGGATCCAATCAATATTTGCTAGACTAAAGACCTAAATTTTGTATTTTTACACAGTAAAGGATCAAACCACCAATGAAAACATGCATTAGATGACAAGATGTATTCATTTGCAACTTTTCCTCTGCTAAAAAGCCTTTTTTCAATTACTCTTTGATGTGAAATATCCAAAGAATCCCAAGACTCCCAAGGTATTATTTCTGAAAAAAATAATCCCCAAAAAATTCCCAATACTTTAAATAATCCCAAAGTTGGCAACACCGTTTAGAATAGACCTTTCTTATAATGACGTCAAACTATTACAGTAACTGTGTAGGATAAATTTATAATGATTTTAATCACATGGACATGGTTAATCAATAATGCGATGTCCCAAGCCCAAGGGACAACGTTTAGTTCAATTCACAATGCAAATGATGTTTCTATATGAAATTTATTGGCTCGCCTGTGGGACATCGCATAAATTGTTTTGACGTCATTATGAGAAAGGAAATGTTTATGTTTAGCACACAGTATATAGCACACAGTATATATTTTTCTGTGTTGGTGTTATGTACTCTGGTGAATATGATGTTTGTGATGTTACTCTGAGTGTATATCCACACCGGGCAAGCTTGAAAATATGCCTTTCGAACCTCAACGACCCTACTACGACCTTTGGAATACGGCAATGTTCCTTGGCAATGTTCGAGACTTCGAGTATGTGATACAATATCACACGAGACAGAGACACGAGATTGGTGATATCAGATCAGAAAATTACTAGATTACACAAAGTACTTCCTATTAATTAACAAAGTTATCGCGGACTCAGAAAAGAATGCGCGCGCGTTTTCCTCGCGGGAAATCCGCCATGTTGTTTTATCATACCATATTTTGTAGAGTGGAATTATGATCGTTGTCAGAAATGAGAAATGTGCAAATTAATGTGTAATAATGGCTTATAACTACGTCGTTACTGCTCAGAAACCAACTGCAGTATCTGCTGCAGTGGTTGGTCATTTTACTGGAGAAAAAGATTTAAATCTTATTATTGCAAAAAATACACGTCTTGAAATTCATCTCGTGACTCCAGAGGGATTGAAACCTCTGTTAGATGTTGGTATATATGGCAAGCTAGCATGTATGCATCTTTTCCGTCCAAAGGTTAGTTTATATCAACGATATAATGTTTGTATTGGGATATTTGTAAAATGTAAAATTGCATTTGATACACATGTATCATGTGAATTTATACAGTCTAACACAGGATCAGGGGTTGACGTTGACTAGCTTAGTTAATAGGAGTATTAAACCTGCGATCAGGCCATAAATAAATAAATAGGCCTGATACAAACCTTAACAAAAGTCCATGCTGTACAACCATATTTCAGTTGTAAATTTGATTAATCTGTCATTTGATTGGTTGGTGCTAATTAGATTATATATACTATTGTTGTTGATATATTTTGTAGTGATCACAACTATAATTAGATTGTTGTTGTCGTTGTGTGAAATTTAAATGTCTCCTGCGACATTTTGATTGGATACTAAATATAAACTTTGCTGTGGGTGGAAAGCGATTGGATTAAGGTTTGTATCAGGCTATTATTTGTAAAATAGAGCCTGATACTCAGGTTAAGTTAAGTTCGTTGTACTTGTGGGTAGGGGTGTGTGAAACCGATCCGAGATTGGGATCGGATTCAGACAGAATTTTACATGTCCGGATCAGATTGGGTATTTTTGTTTTTCTGTCGGATCAGATTTTGGTGTTTTTTTGTCGGATGATTCAAATTTATTTTAATTTGTTACTGGCTATGTGTCAGATTTTGTTATTAATAATAATAATATTTAATATTTATATTGTGCAAATTAACATGTTTATAGTATATGATCAAATGCGCAACGACAACGTTCATACTAAGACAACGTTCATACTACGCCGGAGTGCAATAATGCCTCCAGAATTTACATGTGTTTGCAAATTAAATTGGCACTCATGTAAACCCAAAATATTTCAAATAGAGCAAAGACATTTACTGTCGATGCAATGGAAGTGTTGATAAAATATTGCACCAATTCCTTCCTCAAGTTGATCAATTCATTTGATAGAAAATTGATCAACTTCCTGTTACTTTTAAATGAGCCAATTAGATTTTGTTTCAGAACTGAGTGACCAATAGCAAACGCCCAGGAAGTAAAAAGAAATTTGAATTCGTATGAATTGATCAACTTGAGGAAATGAATTCATGCAATATTTTATCAACACTTCCATTGCATCGACAGTAAACAAAAAGTATACAAATTTACTGTTTTGAGACAAGAGATGCTTGGTTTGCAAGTGGTACAAAAAAGTAACTGCGTTTGTGTTCACACGAAGCTGCCAAGCGCTCTGTTTTCATCTTGCTCTGTTTAGAAACCGTGCTCAAATTGTTAAGGCAAAACTGATGTTTTCAAACAATTTCGCTCCAGTGTAGTGTGAACGCGACGGCTGATTGTGACTTTTCGTTGCTGTTTACAAACCACTCTGGCGTAGTAGACTGTTCGGTATACCGATATACCGAAAATATCGGTATTAAATCAATATCGGTATATTGATACCGGATATTCAACCATACCGATATACCAAAATTTTGGATATACCGGAATTTTTCGGTATACCATGTTAAATTTACCAACTATATGGCAAAACCATAACCTTTATTTTACTACTGAATGGCAATTCAAAGAACTTTCTACTGCAATGATTTAGAATTTCCACTGAGTACGAAATTACACTGAGTACGTTCATGTCGTTCGAAACAGCTTCGAAATTATCGTTTTCCCTTTTAGAATTACTGCTTTTACTAAGGAGAACCGGTATACCGATAATATCAGTATAATTTTTCCGGTATACCGATACCGGAAATTTCTCCTACCGAACATTCCTATGGCGTAGTGTGAACGTAGTCTAAATGTCATTAATTAAACTTGCAAAAAATGTTTTCATCACATCATCCCACATGCATCTATGTGTGTTCACTTGATGCAAACCTTTGATTTTGAAGGATTATAAAATTTGTTTTGTGAGTAAGTCATTGTGTATTAATTGCCAGGCTAAGGGTGAATTGCTGATATTTTTTTGAAATACTTACAGAAAGTACAATTTAATTTAAACCCAGTTTAGCACCAGGTTTGAATGTATTGGTCCTATACTGGTGTACTGCATTCTAAATAACCTTCTGAATAGAGCTGTGCAGTTAACCGAAGAATTCGGTTCTTCCGGTACTTTTTTTAGCACCGAAAAATTATACGTAAAAGAACCAGTAGTTTCTGTTTTAATTCCTGTTTAATGCCCGCCAAACACCCACCTGATTGCAGGTCGAAATGTTTGGAAAACAACAAGATTGTGCTCTTTGTGCACAATATGCACTGTACTAACCACTAAGTGCTCGAATAGTTGATATTTTAGTTGTGATAGTTATTGTTGTGCACTTGCTTTTTAAAAAGAAATATTTCATGCTCATAAATAAATTCCAATTGTTCTTTTAAAATATTCAGAGATTTATACACACTTACAAAGGCATAAATTCATCTACTGTATTGAGTGAAAATGCTTGAAACATACAGTACATAAATGAGTTCATACATTTGTACTGTTCTTCTTTTTTGAAAATAACCGAACCGAGGTTTTTCTGTTCCAAAAAAACCGGAACCAAGATAAAATTTTTGGAACCGCACAGCTCTACTTCTGAATACTTTGTTGTACTAGTATATACTGTAGTGAAGGGGCATGAATTTGGTCCTGTTTCTAACTTTATCCAAACCTTACTAAAGGTTATGCAGTCCAGTAAAGCTTTTGCAAGTTGTGATCTTACACATTTCTGTGAGGATCACACCAGTGGTACACAGAAAGTGCCCCAGTGGAAACTAAAAGTTTCATTATTTACATATTACACTCTAAGTGTATTTTACATATTTACTGTGTAATAACAAAGTTAAGGGGATTTGATTTATTTGAATACATTTATGTACAGTACCAGTAGTCGGTATGTGATGATACACTTCCCAAAACGGATCTGTACCAGATGTATATAGATCTTGGAGTTGAGTTTCATTCAATTAGATGCATTTCACATTTGATATTTACTGCGGCATTGAACACAGCTGGTTTCTGTTTTTGCAGGTACCCATGGAGGATATATCTGTCTCACTTACAAATAACAATTATTATTAGACATTGTAGTTGGTAAAAGCAATTTGATTGGCTAGGAGCTTACAGTTAAATCGCGCAATCACGCAACCTACACAAAATTCAGTTATCTGCTAGCAGATAACTCAGTTATCTGCTAGCAGATAACTGAATTTTGTGTAGGTTGCGTGAAATTGAATGAGTGTACATTTCAAATGAGTGTACATTTCAATTTTCGAATGAATGTACATTTCATAATTGTAAAGTTTACTTTAACAAGTAAATATTTTAATACGTTAACATCTTAACGATAATATGTTTCTTTTATATTTGTAATTAATTTAACTGTTGGACTTCTGAAGACTTGTTTATAGAAACGTTTTACTTGAACAGCTTTGCCAGAAATCATATTGAATATAACGCTTACCGAGACCTTGATAATTTTGCATATCGCAAAAACCGAATTCAATTAATTGTTTTATTATACATTTGAAGAATAATAAACATAGTATTAAAATACTAATGTTTATTATTCTTCAAATGTATAATAAAACAATTATTGAATTCGGTTTTTGCGATATGCAAAATTATCAAGGTCTCGGTAAGCGTTATCAGCCTCGCCTTCGGCTCGGCTGATAACGCTTACCTCGACCTTGATAATTCCGCATATCACAAAAACCTCATCCAATAATTGTTAATTATTAGACCTAGAATTTTTATCAACTACAAGTACAGTTATTAAGTAGTTAACTAATGTACTTGTAAATAAATGTTTCTAGGGTGAATCGCAAGATCTCTTGTTTATCCTGACATGCAGATATAGAGCATTCATTTTGAGTTATAGACCAGGTTCAGGAGATATTATCACTAGAGCTTATGGTGATGTACAGGTAAGCAGTGCATATTTTAAACATATTACAGTGGGAGGCCAAAACCAAAATTAGAACCCAGTGTGGGCACCCAAAGTAAGATTTAGGTCACTCAAAGTAAGGTTAGGGTCCAGTCTGACCTGCTAATAATTTCTGAAAGCTTTTGAATGATAACTGAACAACTGAGTAACATTGTTGTAGGCTTGTAGCAATAATTTTTCAACCATGAAAGCATTGATAGATTTTAAATTAAGCCATATACTTTTGCATGAAATTTAAGGGATCTGTTATACTTACTACACCAGAAGACTTCTAAAATCAACTAACACTTTATTAGCTATGCTCTTGGCATTTTATTAAAAAATCTAGATAGAAATTTATATACAGTGACATAGTAGAATTAACATACACCAGCATTATATACATAACATCTCCTCCCAACCAAAACTGAGAGTTCTATGTTTATTTTGTAACGACTATTGTAAGTAACTAAGTATATCTATATCTACAGGGTGTCTAAAAAAACGCTATGGAAATTCAACAGGCTGCCGTGCATCATAAACGTGGCTAAACAAATAAATTTTTACATAGGACGAAAGAGCTGTTATTTAGCTTTTCTATGATACCCTTTTTAAACCGTAACGATGAGAAATGGCCACATATTCGTCAAATAAAAATTGCCGGTCGAAATCACATTCTTCCACCGTTGGGAATTGAAAATACTTTAATTAAGCAAAATTAGTAATTTGTTTCGACGAAGATTGACGAGTTGAGCTCATTTTAGGCCCGTTTCATACGCCGTACTTCACATGTACCGAATACATTAAAAACAATAGATAATGAGGCATTTCAGCTCATTATCTATTGTCTTAAATGTATTCGGCACATGTGAAGTACGGCGTATGAAACGGGCCTTAGATAATTTAACATTCAACTTTAATTCCCTCGTGGGAATTGTTTATGTTTCGTTTTCATGCAATTCCCAACGGTGGAAGAATGTGATTTCGACCGGCAATTTTTATTTGACGAGTATGTGGCCATTTCTCATAGAAAAGCTAAATATGTCCTATGTAAAAATTGAATTGTTTTGCTAAATTTATGATGCACAACACCCTGTTGAATTCCCATAGCGTTTTTTTAGACACCCTATATCTAACCTATTTAAAGTCAATTGTAAGTCAGTAATGAAATTATACTTCGATTAAACGTTTCGGTTTCGTACGAATACGAGTTGGATACCTGCGAGTACTTGAAAGACTTTAAAGGTTTGCATTACCGTGCATGCGTATTAACAGGTTCCTTTGTTATCGTTGATGGTAGTTGTTGTACTGGTGAGGTTTGAGTTGCACTCTGCTCATTGGGTTACCCTTCATTACCTATTATCTGCCACACTGACTTCTTCTGTCGAAGTGGGATTTGAGATAATACCATGCAGGTGGTTGTGGCATAACATCAGGGAGTGGTGAAATGACATCAGCAGTTGTTGATCCCGCCAGACGTCGTAATTGCTCAACATGTCTTTTCCAGAATAAATCACCAACCTGAATTCGATACGTTATTGGACTCAACCTCATTTGAATCCCTCCATTTACCCATGGATCTCTTTGTGCTCGGTAATCTTTCACCATAACTGGATCTCCAATGTCAAACGTACGCGGTGGAGATTGTGGTAGGTCTTTCGATTTCCTTGCCATCTTAGCGGACAAACTGGGATGCAATAAGTCAAGTTTGGTTCGGAGTCTTCTCCCCATCAGAATTTCAGCTGGTGTACAACCAGTAGCTGTATGTGGAGTCGTGCGATACCCCAACAGGAAACGTGCTAATTTCTCTCCTGTAGATCCTTCTTCATTCTTACGAATCTGCATGGCCTCTTTGAACGTTCTTACCGCTCTTTTGTTTCTCCATTTGAAGCTCATTGTCGAATTCCGTTAAATTTCATGAAATCTTTCATTTCTTGCACCACAAATTGCGGACCATTATCCGAGACAATCTCTTCGGGCAGACCATGAACAGAAAACAGGAAACGTAACGCGAAAAAAAAAACGGGGAAAAATCGGGAAAATACTTGAAACTTGCAGAAATAGTGGTGGCTTACAAACAATTCGTATTCATATTGGTATCAATATATCTGAAACGAAATAGCTTCAATTCTCATTATTATTATACATTTGACATTTTGATCAATTTGATGGTGTACCTGGCTGAATGAAAATGTCATAATTAAGTAAAGAAGCATAGCGGCACAAAGTCACAAAGCCAAGTGTGTTTGAACTATTTCGAACGAGCTTGGAACAGATACTGACATGAAGTAACGTAAACTTCAAAGGTTTTCCAGAGGAACGTTTTCTCGACCAAAAGCCTGCTGTACCCTGGCTTATTTCAGATGTGTGTAAAAGCGAAAATAAGACCGAACTATTCGTAATTCGCAACCGAAATGGCCGCCATATTTTTTATCCAGTGTTTCCACTATTTTATGAAATTTCCTTTAAATTTTCATAAGGAAATTTTCATTAAAAAACATCGTTTTTTTCGGGGGTTTTCCAGACGGTTTTCGGTTTTTACCCTGAACCGGCCGACCCTATTCAGAAGTCCACACATCAGGGTCTTCCACAATTTTCCTCAGCAATCGGGACAACGCATCGGCGTTGAAGTTCTGTATTCAATATTATACTGATACACGCCAAGTTGAATTGCCCATCTCTGAAGATGTGACACTGGAATCCCTCGTTTAGGCCCTAGAATCAAGGTAAGAGGTTTGTGGTCTGTGATTAAGGAAAAACGCCGTCCATATGGGTACTGGTGAAATTTCTTCTATCCAAAAGTTATTGCCAGATCCTCTTTCTCAGTCATGGAATAATTCTGTTCGCTAGTGGAAAGTGTTCGAGAAGCACAAGCTATGGGTTGTTCTTCTCCATCATCAGATACAGTACATGAGATAACACGGCTCCTATTCCACAGGACGATGCATCAGCAGCTAGTCTCACTGGCTTCTTGGAATCGTAATGCGTTAATAATGGCGAATTCTCCAAAGCAGCTTTCAAGGTCTCAAATGATTTCTGACAGTCGTTGGACCAGCTCCAAGGAACATCTTGGGATAGCAAACGATTCATAGAATTTACCAAGGTCGCCATATCTGGAATAAACTTGTGATAATAGTTCACTAGGCCGAGAAATGACTTCAAATCTGTTGAGTTTTCCGGAACTGAAACTTCCCGAATGGCTTGGACTTTACGCGGCGAAGGATGGATTCCTTGGCGATCCACCACCAATGCAAAATACCCTGTACTACACTGAAGGTTGCAAGAAAACACACTTCGATTTCTTCAGCTGGATTCCCATACTCTGAAGACGATTCAGAGTTCTATCGAGATTTCGCAAATGTTCGTCATTCTTGCCCGTAATAATCAGATCATCTAGGATACCTCCTACTCCTTGTAGACCATTCAACACCACGTCCATAGTCTTTTGGAAAATGGCTGGACTGGCTGCTACTCCAAAAGGCAATCTCGTATACCGATATAACCCCCAAATGAGTGTTAATGGTAACATACTGCTTTGAGTCGTCGTCCAAAAGAACTTGTTGATACGCTGATGACAGATCAATCTCGCCCCCGTTTAGCTGTGTGAATAGTTCCTCTGCGGCAGGCATTGGATCTTCCTGCACGTCGAGATACGGGTTGATAGTTACTTTATAATCCCCACAGATCCGTACACTGCCATCAGGTTTCAAGACAGGCAGGATTGGAGTCGCCCATTCGGAGAACTCGACCTTTTCCAAAACCCCGAGTTTCTCTAACTGGTGTAGTTTCTCACTTTTTTGTCTTTCAGAGCAAATGGAACAGGACTGGGTTTGAAACATTTTGGCGTAGAATTCGGCTTCATTTTCAGATGTGCCTTACTCCTTTGATCGTTCCCAACGAATCATCAAACAACGACGCATACTGCGTGGTTAGTTGCTCCACATCGTTGACAGGCTTCACTAAAACTTTCTTTATTTGACTCCAATTCAACTTCAACACCGACAACCAGTTGCGCCCCAGCAACACAACTGAGTCCTTCATTGTTTGTCACTATAATGGGTAGATGAGCCTTTTGGTTGCCATACACCACTTGAACACCAATTTCCCCAATCACCGAAATTTCGTGCCCAGAATAACTTCGTAATGTAACGTTGGACTTTCGTACTGGTTTTGCCGACAACACGTTTCTCCAAACATTTTCTGGCATAATAGAGATCGGTTCCCGTGTCCACTTCCATATGTACTGGTTTTTCATCAATCGACACGAGTACTTTCAGCTCTTTACATTATCGCCTCGAATCAGTCACGGTAAACAGCGGCGATGATACCGGTTTTACAACCTCCTCTTGGCTTTCGCTGTCGCTTTCAACGTCGCTATCTGTCTTAATGCTATTAATTCCGATTTGTTTCTTTTTCTCTTGTCGTCTTTTCCTTTTGATTTTCCAAATCTCGTTTTCTTCGAGTTGTTGTTGTTCGATCTATCGGGACATTTCTTGAGAATATGTCCGTAATTTTGACAACCATGGTATTTCGACTTGCGAAAAAAGCCACTTATTCGGAACATGATTCTTCTTGCCACAGCGAAAACACTCAGGTAAAGCTGTTTCGACTCGGTTCATCGATTCTCTGTGTAACGCTGAAGTTTTTCTGTCCGTTAATTCTGCTGCACAAGCTTTTTCCACGGCTAACTTTAAAGTCAATTCCGCTTTTCTTAACAGCTTGCGTTGAATCGCCCAATTTCTTAATCCACAAACAAATCTGTCTCGAATCACTTCGTCTCGATAGCCACCAAATTCACAAGTTTCAGCTAGTCTCTGTAGCTTTCCGAGATAATCCCTTATCGATTCAGAGTGTTCTTGTTCAGCCTTGTGGAACTTACTGTATAACGTTCGGCAATGCATGTAACTATCGGTTTTGGCTCTAAATGTTAATTAAGTCAAAGTGTCTACAATTTCCTTATACGTTAGTTCTTTCGGTGTTCTCGGTGCTGTAATAGATCTAAGCAAAGCATAAATCTTACTACCCATACTCGAAACTTGTTTTTGCGTGGTACGTTGTTCACTTCGAAAAATATTTCAAGCCGCTCAACATACTGCTTCCAATCGGTATTCGGCGAATATTCTTCCATGTGGCCCATCACCCATGAACGACAAATTAAAGCCAATATTCGGCTGGGCAGCTTGCCCTTCTTCGTGCTCCATAAAACAACAAAATCCTTGTCGCCAATTGTTATATTTACTACACCAGAAGACGTTTAAAATCAACTAACACTTAATTAGCTATGCTCTTGGCATTTTATACAAAAATCTAGACAGAAATTTATATAACATAATAGAATTAACATACATGCACCTAATGACCTAAATTAACATTAACCAGCATTATAAACATAACAGGATCAAGGTTCAATGTTTATCAAAGCTGTGATAAGAGCTTTATTATAACAAATCATCCCAGTTAACTGGGCCAGCCAACAGGCTGCATACTGTATGAAGACCCTAATGGGTATTCCCTACAGTTCTTACTTTATACAGTAGTGCACAAATGTGGACTGAAGGCCGTTATTTCTGTTCAGAGAGAATTGCCCACAGACATCCCTTCCGTTTGCAAAGTTAAAATTATTATGTACATTATCTTCATAACCAAAACCCCATTCTTGAGAGAAATTCTAACTTCCATATTTCTTATGATTATATAAGTTTATAGACGAACAGTACATTTGACTGACACGGTTTTGCAATCATTTCAGGACAAAATCGGCAGGCCATCTGACACAGGGTTGACGGCAATTATAGATCCTGAATGTCGAATTATAGGCTTACGCCTTTATGACGGTCTGTTTAAAGTTATTTTACTTGAACTGGATTCATCAAAAGAGTTAAAAGCTTTTAATATAAGGTACTTTCTAATTCTAGCTTTGAATTTTATACTTGCTTGTAACAACTAATGAAATGCAATTCAGGAAGCAATATTATTCATACAGGATTCTACAGCTACACCCTTATAAAACTAATGTTATTTCGATAAAAGTGCCCGTGACAATTTATTTAAAAAACCTACTATCAGCCAGTAAAAGATGGTAAACACCTCTTCAGTAATATATCGGCCATACATGAAATTTTGGAAAATTCCCATGATGTCATTTACACAAATCACTTTTAGAAAATAATCAGACTTGTTATTTTCAATAAAGTGATTTCATAGAAAAATAGCCCATGTACAGTACATAAATTTAACCCCCAGTGTTTGTTATCATACTGTGCTTAAAAAGAAGAGTGGATACAACTGGAAAATATTGTTTTGCAATTGAAAATTTCTAACTTGGAAACAAAATGACTGCATATATGATTCACTGCAGTTGTTGTTTCTAAAGCACAGTTTCTCTGCTTGTTTGGTATGGACATGACACAACATACATTATGAATAGAGTCTGAGTAAAAATTGCATCTTGAAACTGATGACTTGACACAACTTAGACTCTTCCGAATTTTTCCAAATCTTGAGTTTCCAAATGGATCTTTTTTTTCGGGTTTTGTTTTCTCCGTTACTTTATGAACACAGCAGCTTTGATAGGCTATTATGCAAATTTACAAGTAAGTAGAAACGTTTTAAGAACTGGAAATTGCAGCAACAATTAGCGACTCATACAGAGTATGTTGGCAACTAGTATATGGTTACTTGCTGTACATATACTGTACATGAAGGTCAGTGGCGTAAAATTATAATGCCCAACCTGTTTGTTTGCAGTGTGACCATATATGCAAATTTTTTTACTAAAACTGCTTAAAATTGGTTGGCTGCCCCCTCCTGTTCTTAATGTTGCAGTTGTTTAAAGCAGGTGGGGTTGTCTAAGGGCATCCAACCGGATCTGGTAATAAAATGTACTAAACCTGGTCACACTGTTTGTTTGACGTTTCAGATTTGAAGAACTTGATGTTATTGACATAAAGTTTCTTCATGGATGTGCCAATCCTACAATAGCGTTTATTTATCAGGTTCGTAATATCTTCATGTCATCCTGTTTATTTTGCAGGGTGCGATAATTCACATACTTTTTTGTTTTTAACCAAGTACTATGTACAGTAGGTATGTACAGTAAAGTCAAACTTAAAAGTCGCTGTATATGTCTTGACATGAAGAATTATTGGACTGATGGGACTATGGAATGTTGGAGTTAATTGTAGTATTTGTGTATGCCATCTTTACTTCATTTTAAACACTGAGTACACTTTGATTCTTAAGTTTGTACAAACTCAAGTACAAGGCAATCATTGGAGTACCAGTGAGGTGCGAATAAAAATCTTGAATTATCGCACCCTGTTTTGGTTTAATTTTTTGACCATTGGGCGGAATTAGAAGATGTATGATCACTATATATCTTGCACGGTAACCCGGCACAACTAATACCGCGCCATACTGGTTGTTGACGAATTATTGTAAATAACTTCAACTAAATATTGCCCAACTTTAGTTGACTACACTGTAAATTACAAGGAGTTGAATCACCTCCAATTTCACCAAAAACGGTGAAAGAATAACTCTTTTGCAGTTAATTCAACTCCTTGTTGACGTATATAGCTAGATACATAGTGTTCTGTTTTAGGACCCTCACGGTCGTCATGTTAAAACAAACGAAATATCGTTAAAAGATAAGGAATTTTCAAATATTCCTTGGCAACAGGAAAATATTGAAGTCGAGGCGTTCATGATTATAGCAGGTACAGTATTCTGTTTAAGGAATTTTCAAAAATTCCGTGGCAACAAGAAAATATTGGAGTCGAGGCGTTCATAATTATAGCAAGTGTACAGTGATCAGGTTGATCAAGGTCTTGGAGCAAACTTCGTTAATAAATATCAATTAAACAAAAACGTTTTCAAACGCAGACGTGATCTTCGTTAATGGTGTAGGCATGCTCTCTTATTCGTTTGTATTTCTAAACAGTTTTAGCAATAGGTTGTTGTAAACAGTGAAAACGGCAGATCTGATGATTGCAATCAATGCAAGACTTACATTTACATTATATGAAGACGAAGATACAATTTTCCATATCTATTTGTTTATCTTTAGTTCCTAAACCTCTTGGTGGTGTAATAATTATTGGTCAGGAGTCAATAACGTATCACAATGGTAGACAGTACCGTGCTATTGCACCTGCAACACTAAAAGTAAGTAATTACATATATCACCAGTTTAGCAAACATTTTACTGTGATTTTAGTAACAGTCGGACAATATCTACTGTAATATAATAAATGTTGATATATCACCTGCTGTTCGTGGCTTGTACATTTTTGTCTATCAACACTATGTAGTATAATTATCACTTATTTACTGAGACCGAGGGAAACAGTGTGTTTTGTGGACCCGAGACCGCCGTTGGAGGGGCCACAAAACACACTGCTTTCCCGAGGTCTCAGTAAATAAGTGTTTTGTTATATAGTATATAAGTGTCAAAGTATCATGAAATAATTCACCGGTTATTGGAGTGAACTTTGAAACCAAAACTATATAAATGGAATGCCGTAAATTTTTAATAAAAAAAGTTTAATAAAATGAACTTTGAAACTTCACGGTTGATACGCATACGCACTGCACCCATTCTATTGTTGACCGGTCAACAATTGTTTCATTGTTGACCGTTGCCCTCTCATCAAAGCAAGCAGTGAACATGACGTTTTGTGGACCGGCACGTGATACGGTTTTGACCAATCGGCAAACAGGAAAATTGAACTTTGACACTTGCTATATAACAAGTTAACTTGTACAGTATGCAAGGATATTTTGTTGTGTTATTGACTTAACGAATGTTAAATAATGGAATGTCAGTCATGTTGTCTAATCCTTCAATATTATCTTTATATGTCATTGATGTAAGATAATTGTTAAGCTATTAATAACCATACATAACGTACTCCTCATGCAGAACATATAACAATAAAGGTCAGTAGTAAAACTAGGATTTATTCGGATATTGTACTTAATTGTAGTTCAATGACATTCCTCGAGTCCCAAAAGTGAAGCCAACCAAGATGGCGGAAATTGAAGAGCTATTGGACGTCAGTTCCAGTCCATTTCTATTGTTTTAGTCTGCGCTGTTAACACGAAGCTGGCAAGAAATGTGCCGAAATTTCGTATTCTGACATCGATTTAAAGAATAACACTATGGTTTTATGAACTGATAACTTGTTAGCAATATGGACCGTTAGAAGAAACGGAATTAGCTGGAAAAATGGTATTAAAACTGTTTACGACCTTCATAGCTATTGGACGTCAATTTCCGCCATCTTGGCTTCATTTTTCTCATAGGCCGAATGACTGAAGTGCATGCTCCAGATATGTAGAGCTCACTGGGATCGCGTTGCTGCTTTGCGTCTGGCCGCGTGGATTTACAAACCTGGGTACGAGGCATTTTTTACAGGACGTTATTGTTTAATTCAGTTTTATTTCTATTCTTTAGCAAAGTACAGCGACATGTTACGGTCAAATTGATCCAAATGGCTCGCGATATTTACTGGGAGATCTCGAAGGAATGTTGTTCATGTTACTTTTAGAACAACATGAAGTTAATGGAATTATGGAAATTAAAGATCTCAAGTTGGAGGCTTTAGGCGAGGTATGTGCGCTTTACTGTATGTATTCGTTCGAATTTTCTGCTTACAATTTTGATTTTAAATGTTGCCTTTGACTTGCTTTTAAGTGTATTTCTTAGTTAGGCAGAGAATGGAGATTTCATATGTAATCTTAAGATAAATATTAATGCCCAGCAGAAAATACGTATAAAAGAGCCATAACAAAAATATAGTTTAAAATATTTATTAGAAAGCTAACGTTTCGTCTTTAACTTAAGACATCTCCAGAGCAATGACATACAAAGCGGAAAACATAGAAATATGAATAAATTACAACTATTTACAAGATATTATATTACAAAAGTAGAAAGAGGAGTGGATCAGAGTAGAAGTAGAGGGATCGAACTGCCTTGTAAGTTGAGAGAGGGTTTGAGTTTGTTAATGAGAAGACCTTCTCGAATGAGGAGTTCTATCGCAAGTATTTCATATTTACAGTTTCGTCATTTACAAAACCTTCACCTGCCGACCATTCAAAAATTACAATCATATTATAATCCGAAGGTTAGCGTTTTGAAAACCAAGATACAGGTTAAAACAAGACCTGCATGAATGAGTTTGTGATTCTGTATTTAGATTTTATTGTAAAGTTATCATCAGACTAGACCAGCTTTATATCTTAGTTTTCTTTTTCAAGCGTAATGGAGATTTCGATTTCAAGGCTTGTTCTTAGGCGTATTCTTTAGTTTGTCAGATAGGAGTTACCAGTTTGTTTTGGACGTTTCATTATTTCTAGATTACTGGGCATGTATATATTATTTACAATCTTGACTAAATGCACTGCGTAATTTCTTTCAGGTTTCCATACCTCACTGTTTAGCATACTTGGATAATGGAGTCGTTTTTGTTGGATCCGCTTTAGGAGACTCGCAATTAGTTAAGGTAAGATAATATAGACCTGCATGCATAGCTTATACTGTACATGTACCTGACATTGTCCAAGGAAACGGGAAACTTAATCACCCACTCCTATTGGTCATTCCTACTAAGTATCGAGATGGATGAATGAAGACTCCAGTATACACAGATCGATTCTGCGTAGAGAATAACCTCACCCTGCATCTCTGCGAAAATTTCCTGAGCATTTTGACTTTATTAGGGTCCACTAAAGTATATGTACAAAGTCTAATTATATAATCAAATATGTACGTTAGGTATTTAGTATATACAGCTGTATATATAATCATAGGTAGCCCAACAATCAGTGGTATTAGATATAATGCTTTTCGTTGGGTGCTGCCGCGCGCGCCAAGTTTCAGAAGAATAGGGCGAGCTTAAACAGGTGGGAAATTTGTCGTCGCTGACCAAAAAATTGCGGGCAGAAACAAAGCTCATTGCATTTACATTCAAAACAAAGCAGAAAGTTAGCAAGAAGCTGTTTCAGCTGACGATGTTTTGCTTTCCATTCAACGATTTACAAATTATTGGTTATTCTTTTAAATGTCGATCATGAATTCTTTGTTTTGGGATGATTGTTTTGTAATCGCGTGATTGGAAGAAGTTAATATGGCGACGTGAACATGGGAGTAAATACCGTATACGTCGATCTATGGCTTGTTTAAAACCGTAATAAACGAAGAAAGACGTGATTTGAGAATGAAATGTAAGTTGAAATTAACTTTATATGCCTCAAATTTTCCATCCTATGTTTTTTAATGTAACTTCAGCTGTCTAAGTTCAAAATACAAGCTCGCGAAATTTGACAAATTTTGAAAATATGTAAAAATAGCTTGACTTTGAACTGTATTTTCTCAAAAATAGCCCGTGGCCTCAATTTCAAATATAGCTAAATGAAAAGAAAAATCTTTTCGGCGTTTGTTGGTATCAAACATATCGTCAGGAAAATAGGGGCTCACAATGTTTTGGTTCAGTCTTTGAGACCCAGTTGCTTCGCACGTGTTGTGGTCAAATTTTTGCCAAGAATCAAAGGCCGAAATGCGAAATTCCTTCATGAAAACCGCTTCGAGAAGGGTCTAGTTTGAAAATTTAGCTATTAATTTCGATTTCATGAGCATCTTTGGTTACACGTTAAGTATTTTTGTGCTTGATGCGATTCAAAATTTGTTGTATATTCAAGCCCGGCTTTTGTGTAATTTTGGTGATGACCGGAACAGAAATAAAGATATTTTAAAAACTGGCCGTGGCCTCACGATAAAACTTTCTACAAATGTTCTCTGTTTCATGTACTTTTATTTGATATCTAAGGTATAAGCGTAAAAATAGGGGCTCATACAGTTTGAGAGGTTGTAAAATGCATGACTTGCCTCTATTTTCATGTAAACATTCGAAATTCTTCGACAGCAAAGTAGCAACTGTTTCAGATCGAATGCACACGGACAGCCCACCAGAGACAATGGCAGGGTACTGAAATAGAACGTCACTAAAAAATTCTGTATGATTAATTTAGATCATGTCCACTCTTTCAACATAAAACAGTCATTTATTTTGTACAAACATTTGGCAATATTTACACGATTGTGCCTTTTTGTAAACACGCGTTGCGTGTATTCCACGCAATTGCATGGCTCATTTTACTTGCGCATGCTCAGACAAATTTCCCACCTGTTGCGAGCTTATTTAAAAATTGACATTAATTTGGTGCATTCTACACGTTTTTTTTTTCATTTAAATTAAATGACGTCACAAAGCGCGCGCTAATTATTATTACCCATCATCCTTTGTGCATGCGCAAGCGTATAAAAGGTTTTGACGTAATAATGATCTTTGTCATAATTGGCTGACTATGAGAGTTTTGTACGTTGCGTCTCTCTCGCAGTCAAAATTCCTGTATTTTTTAAAATGGCGTTTGCTGAATAGCAAATAATGTGTCGATGGTTCATTCTCAGTTAAACAGAGTTTTGGAATGTCAAGGGAACAACAAACAAATTCTTTAAGAAGTTCTCAAAGTCGAAATCATGATCAGAAAAGATTTGGCTCTCTCACCGAGAGCTCAATGATGAAATTGAATTAAAATAAAGCAAAGTTTGAAGAACTAGTACTCGAGTCGGAGCTGTACAGTAGTTGGTGTGATATTCCATAGGATTTTACCGACTAAATAAATGTAGATGATAAAAAAATAAAAAACGAGCGGTAATTAAAATTTTTGCGTGGGTCGACCCTCGAAGGACCGAAACCGGAACGAACACTCTCAGACTAGTGGTGAAAGGTTTTTTTTCAAGCATGAAAACTTGATAGCCTTTTAGGCAAATAAAAGTATTTTTTTGTTATTTAGTTAGTAATATAATATGAATGTATTTCTATTCAATGAACATCTTCCGGTATTGTCCTGGTTTCACTGTCTAATCTCGTATTCTTTGTTGCTACTATATAGTTAAGTACAAAAGCAGATAAACATGGCAGTTATGTGCAAGTGATGGAATCATTTACTAATCTTGGACCAATATTAGACATGGCTGTTGTAGACTTAGAGAGACAGGGGCAAGGACAGGTAAAGATTCATTAACTGCAGTGTATTTCATGTCGTTGATTTTGATATTTATAGACCTTTTTAGCTTACAGTGTTGGCCAGGGGCCGGTTGTATCAAGCCCGTTTAGCTTAAACGGTGGATAAGTCAAAATTATATAACACTCTTTTCTCTCTCGTGAATCAGTCAACTTAAATATTGTGCACTAAATATGTAATTGTAAACATTATCGTTCTATTAAGGTTCAATACTTTTAGTTTGGTTGTTGAATGAATCTATAGACTTGCTTTCTATTTGGAGCTTAACCACCGTTTATGCTAAACGGGCTTGATACAACCGGCCCCAGGTTAATACAATTGAATGTATATAGATACCTTTCCACTAAAAATTTCCAGATTTTCCGCTTAAAAATTTGTTATCAATGCCATGCATGCTCCTTAGCATTCTTTATCGCATAATACAGATTTATAATAGCTTATGAACATTCAAAAAGGTAGAATAAGAGCTAGAATAATGCTTGAAAATGGAACAACAGCGATTCGGTGTTTCAACCTTTTGCTATACCTTCGCGTGTTTTCTCGCATCTCATGTTTTTCGCACCGACCGCTTTGATATAAATGTATGGGGATTATGTAGGTAGCCCATAGTCGGGCTCTTATGGTGGAATTAGTACCCTCGCCATGGACCTACCGCTTACGCCTTACTGGACTCTCCGCCGCAGAGGCTTTATGTCACTTTATTTATACTCGGAAAATATAAGGCATGGAGGTAACTAGTGAACACGCCTGGGGGAGCCAATTATCTGCATGCCTCATAATTTGTCCGCTAATGGATTGGGCAAAAGCATCATAAAATGCATTGCAGAGCGGCAGACAAGCACATGCACATACTGTTTTGATGTAAACTTGACATTCTGTTTAATTTATTTTTTATTAAGCTTGTCACGTGTTCTGGAGCAAGTAAGGAAGGTTCGCTGAAAATTATTAGAAACGGAATTGGTATTCATGAAAACGCGACGGTTGATCTAGCTGGAATTATGGGTATGTACTGTTCATGTCAACTTTTAATTTGTATCCCATTTTCCGTGTTCATTGTGTGGTATCATTAGTTTGGAGTAATTTGTTTGTGGTAGCGTATACTGTAAATACTGTTCTAACGACATGCTGGTGCCAACATATTGTAACGTCAGTGGCGAAGCTAGCCATCGCAATTGGTCATGCTAGCCTATGCTAATAAACCTTCATCAAGACAATATATTTCTAAAGTTTTGAATAATGCAAATCATTAAAAATTTGCTAGCCATAGCATGACCTGTTGGTATGGCTAGTTGTGCCAATGGTAACGTGTATGCTATGGTAGCCCAACGAAGGGCTATCATTCCAAAGGTTGTAGGTTCGATTCCCACCGTGGGCAGGCATATTTTTCAAGCCTGCCCGGTGTGGATATACACTCAGAGTAACATCACACAAGCATCTTATTCACCTGAGTACATTACACCAACACAGCAAATATCATAATGTAGTTATTTCTCTCTTTTTTTTCTCAAACATGTTACTGTAACTGATTGTGGGTTTTTTAGGTATATGGGCTTTGAAAATATCAGACCCAGATTCAGAATATGATGATACCCTGGTTTTGTCATTTGTTGGTCAAACGCGGTAAGTCAAAGAGTTTACTAAATACAGTGTGGTTTATTTTCAGCGCTGTTTTAGACTTGGACCTCAACGGCTTAAAGACTCCAAACCTCGCTAACTTACGCGATTATACTGTACCATGCATGCATGCATGCATTAATATTGTAATTGGTCAAATATAATACAGGATGTCAGTGGCGGACACTTTATGAAATATTGGGGGAGCTCATGCCGAAGGCACGGGAAAATTTTAAAACTTGAATCTCGGAAATGGCATTTGCAACATTCCGATAACACATTTTGTAAAAAACTAGGGTTTCAAAACACTGTTTTAATGGTGCGTTTTGTTATAAATCACATGCTAAGCATAGTATAGAAAATATTTACATGATTATTTACATTTGTGAATGGAATTGCAAGGTGGTTTAATTTAATTAACACGCCAATGACGATGTAAAAAAAGAAGTGCCTGTTGTAAAAAGTTGACCCCCTATAGTATCCGTCAAAAAGAGTGTATAAAATGCGTATGTTGTGACATGTACAGAAACATATATTATATTATGATGACAATTACGTTATATGAGTGTGGTTTGTGTTATATATAAATTTGGTACAAGATTTTTACAGTCTTTCAGAATTATTGGGCTCAGGCGCCCCATATATTTATTTATTTATTTCATTGAACAAAACTAGAATTTTAACATTGAGTGGTGAAGAAGTAGAAGAAACAGAAATTGATGGATTTGTTGACGATGAACAGACATATTATAGTGGGAATGTTTGTAACAAGAAAATTGTGCAGGTATACTATACAGTATATCTCACTTTATAATATAGTCATCCATTGTATATGAGCTATTCTGTAATCTGATTGGTTGACCTACTCGCCATGTATCAGCTCATATACGACTCGAGCTCGTGGTATAATTGTTAATTATTGTAATTCCTTAGTATGATTAAAAGAAACCTTATAAACTCAAACTCTAAGAATTCTTCTCGAATGCGACCGAGATATTCAAATAGACATTTACGCATTGTTTCATAAAATTTCTTTTTGTTATCTTTGTGTTAGGTCACGTCAAGTTCTATTCGTTTGGTAAGCTGTGACTCCTTGAAACTTGTCTGGTGAGTGACATATTTATGATTACTTACCGAAGACTTCTTTATTCTCCTTAAAAACCAGCAGAAGGATAAATGCAGAACTATTCTGGCTTCAGATTGAGTCACTAAAAGATAATGTAATAAACGCCACTCTCTATAAACGCCCGGTAAAAACCATAATTTTGTAGTCGTCACCTCTCTATATATTAAATTATCCACTAAATGCCCCCTCGGCCCTTCCCTACATGGGACCTTTATTAGATTCAATTAAATATTTAGTAGTGTAATGTTGGAGGCTTGGAGCATATAAGTGTAATGCAGTGTAAGCCATAAAATGTTTTGATATTTGTTCACTTTGCAAACTGCTGTTTAAGAAGCGCAAAATGTCGTATTAACAATAAAAACTCCTTTCTCGTATACGTTACTCCTTTCTCGTATACGTTTTTAATAAATATCCAATTGCGCGTTCATGAGTAAAATTTTTCTTCCTACACCAGGCAAAACTTACTATTGCAATTGCCATGCAGATACAATACCAGTGCCTTTAATTAATGTTTTCAAAGCAATGACTGTGTATTTTGTCGTAGTGAGTGGCGACCTCCAAACAGTAAGACAATCAGTGTGGTTTCATGTAACAAGAAACAGATCGTGACTGCCGTTGGAAAAGATTTGTTTTATCTCGAGTTTCAAGATGAAAATATCAATCAAATTTGGTAAAATATTTTAAACACAGTTTTTACGATAGCACGAGAGATTTTGACCTCTTTCATGAGATGAATATATTCTAGAATTTCTAGGATATTTGCTGAATTACAATTTTTTTCAAATTTTAATGCATTGATAAATCGTTATTCACGTATTTCCTTTACATTTTCTATTAAAATGTCTATAGTGTGTACAATATTGTAAAAAACGTTTCTTTATGAATATTTTGTAGCACCACGACGTTAGAACATGAAGTTGCTTGTTTAGACATTTCTCTACCACGTAAGTACATGATTCATTTTAGGATATACTTGTTTTGCAGTGAAGGGAAATGCAGGTTTAAGGGTTTTTGTAGAGATATAACAACATTCTATTGCATTACATTGGAAACGTTTACGTTACAGACTGTAGAGAAATATCGACACTCTAGTACATCGGTCACCTGGATATGCTATAGCTTAAGTGTGATTTGGAATCGATCCGGAGGATGAGTACCATTCAAAGTGTTTGGAAATCTCTCGGGTCCTTACATTGTTTTTCAAATTATTCGAGAAATCAAGCTTGGTAACTTAATTTATACCTGGAGAAAGAGGAGAAATTGTATAAAATTCGAAGGTGCAATGCGAATTTTGCTCTAAAAATCCACAAAGACTCGTCTAACCAGAATGAGATTTTTTCTGAATATTTTTAGGTGTAAGATGGTTAATATTTTTGGGTTTTCTTATTTAGAAAATCCTGACGAGAAATCCACGTTATTAGTTGTCGGTTTATGGACAGATATATCACTGAGAGTACTCAAGTTACCAAATATGGATCAGGTGTGCGTTGAAAACTTGGGTGGAGGTTAGTGGATATGCTGAGTTTTGATCCTTTTGATTAAAGATTGTATAAAACAAGACTTTCATGTCCCCATTATTTTTCGTAAGGAATACAGTATATGTAATCTTTTTATATGTTACGCTACTTTATATTTGAAAAATATTAGAATCTAAGGTCACCCCAACATATAGGCCCTTACCCTGCCGGGGACTGTTCCCCCAGAACACTGACTTAGTTCCCTCAGGGATGATGCACATGCACCTGCACAATGGTCGCGCCCCACTCCACGACGAGCGCCTGCTCAGGGCCCAAGCAGTTCTTGATCAAGCTTGTAGAATTGCTTGCTTGGTAACAAAATTTACCTAACTGGTGTTAAGTAGCGGTTAATTTTTCTCGACAGCGTTCACCTACATCATTTCAATATGCTAGACGTATCCCGTACACTTACTAAAATTCCTATTTAATTTACCATGGTGTAGAAATCATTCCTCGGTCTGTTTTGACTGCGATGTTTGAAGGAATTAAGTACCTGTTGTGCGCACTTGGTGATGGAACCTTCTTTTATTTTATGATGGATAATTCAGGTACGTATTTTATTAAGTTTGTATTTTCCTATAATAAAAAGAGTTTGGTTTGGTTCATTAAAACACTGCAACGCGCGATGTAAACTAAAAGAAGGGTTCCAATTATTCTTACGCTTCAATAGCTTGGGTGTGTAGACAACAGGCCTTATGTCAAGATGCTGGGAAATTACTGCACAATTCTCTCTCTGCGTAATTTCCCGCAGGAAATTACTTCCACTGGACTCACGTCCTTCATTACGCACTATACCTAATTACCTTAGCGACGTTATCGAAAGAGTGCAACAAGCCAACAAAGAGTACTTTCTATCATCTACCCTGGTTGTGGCTGTATACACGGACTGCTTAAGTTACAGTATAGAGCAATTTACAAACTCTCCACGCTAGACGAGACGAAGCTTGTCCTAAACTGTTTAAGAGCATCGACAGCAGCCCGAATCGTAAAGTTCATAATCTACTTCTAACAAGAATGGTCCAGCATCATTTTTTGAGAAATCATCGTGAGTTTATGATACCAACGTGAATAGAAACATATTTTTAAACACTTGTACTATCTTCTGCAAATGAAATGAATAGGTCACAAAAGTAGAGTTAATATAGTGATTATTATTAGAGCGACAATCCTTCAGTTCTTTTACTGTTTCTTAGAGTAGCATTATATGTAGTTTTGAAACGTTTTACAATGTTCCAATTTTGAATTACCTAATCTATTACATAGAATAATTAAATGTGTAAATTGCGTAATTCAGCCATATGTTATGGCTGCGATATAATTTTTTAAATGAACCTATCTATTATTATATCTATTATAATTATTTGATATGCATTCAAAAGCTGTGATTTCGAGGTTCCTTACAAGGATTTTGTATTTGAAAACTTGGAAAATATAACGAGCACCGCTTACAGCTAGAAACGTTAAATAGCTGCAGGAAATTTGGTCAAGTTGAAGATTTGACAACTTGAAGATTTTCATCCTGACACTCGTATCCAACTATGGGTCCAACAACTTGACCGACGTTTCGCCGTGAGTTGAAAACCATAGTCAGCTACAGTATATAAGACATGTTCAGACTCAGATAAAATAACAGTAGGTTTTTAGACATTTTATTGTTTATATTTTAAGGTTTGTTATCCGAGAAGAAGAAAGTCACACTTGGAACTCAACCTGCAGCACTCAAGACATTTCGTTCTCTTTCAACTGTTAATGTTTTCGCGTGTTCCGATCGGCCAACTGTCATTTATTCCAGCAACCATAAACTGGTCTTTTCTAATGTAAATCTTAAGGTAAGCATCAAGACAATTTTAGCGCAAGATAGTCCTTTGCTAATGCCAAAGTATATTAACCTAAGGAAATGTTAGTAAGTATATTTATTGGGTGATCCAACCTGAAACTGGTCATGTCTGTAGGGAATAAGAAGGTCAATAAAGTGATAGTAGTGTGGTGTTGCACTCAAGTTACGTAACGATAGAATGTCAAAATTAGGAAATACTTCGAAAAGGATTTATCTCTTATAAATTTCAACAGGAAGTTGGATGTATGTGTCCTCTTAATACCCAGGGATATCCACAGAGGTGAGTAGATTATCTTTAAACCAAAATGTTCTTTAATTTTCACATACATGCATTTCGCTTAAAAATAACAAGATTTTGTCGTTTTCCTGATCTCTAACAGTATTCTTTTTTGTCGTAGTTTGGCGTTGTCGAATGCAAATTCGCTGACAATTGGAACAATTGATGAGATTCAAAAACTTCACATTCGAACAGTTCCACTTGCTGAGTCACCACGGTAAGTACAATTCAATACACAGTTATTCAAACGTGGAGATTTGGCCGCGTTGTAGATAAAGAAACCGTCGATGTAGATACTTGTTTTATACTAAAGTTCCCTGTTGTTTATTTTCGGGTGTTTGTCCTTGTTTTAACTAGTACGTTCAGGTTTTTGTCCTTGCTTTAACATAACCAAATTATGGCACAACCATGCAACCGTAAAATCATTGAAGTAAGAAAATTAACAACTAAAGATTATGATCGAAGCTCTCACAAGCGAGTTTAAACGACTTGAAGCAGGTCTCAAAAGTCACGAGTCAGGCATTGCGAAGTCGAAAGAAAATCACACCTCTCAGATGCTGAAACAGTAAAAAGCCTGGAATTTATGAGTCATGCATGAATACGACGAGTTAAACAATTTCCGTGCCATTGCAAAACAAAAATTATCAGCCTTGAATACTAGACTGAGCAAATCTCTTTGGCTCTGAGCACTGAACTACGGAGTCCAGTTGCCAAAAGCTATTTGACAAAATGCCTAAAGTCTAGAATACTAGCCCGACTACTAACCATCTTAACAAAGGGAATTAACACATCACCAGTGATTTTGTAGTAAATTGAAGATATTTTATTTCAGTCGAATAGCTTATCAAGAGAGTACTCAAAGTTTTGGTGTCGTGACGGTCAGAACAGAACTTCAAGATTCATGCAGTAGTGACTCCCGCCCATTACGGAACAGTGCCAGTCTTACAGCACATAATGTCACTAAGAGCATAATAGGTGCTATAGCAAGTACAGGGTCCACACAGCCTGATGGGATTACATTTGGAAATGATGTGGAATGTGGAAGTTTTCTTATCATTGATCAACATACTTTTGAAGGTAGATTGCTCCGTTCCCTTATCTATAAGCTAATGTAGAGAACAAGCGTACTGTATATATTCATGGAACAATCAAGCAAAGCATTACAAACGGAATGGAAAATTACTGATGCATCTGCACCTTTAGGGCATAAAATTTATATTCAGTCATTTGCAAGAATTTAATTTTTGGTTCACTTTTCTCTTAAACCTCACCCATTTTTCTATGCCTATATCAGTGTAGTCTATTTCATATAATATCATGATTGCAGGTATTCCCTTTGTTCTCGCAGGGCAATTAATAACTAATACACCTCACCCTCATCGAGCGGCGCCCAAGGGAATTATACTAAACGACCCTCATCGGGCGGGACGTTTTAATAGCTAATTCGCTTCTTTTTATGCTATTACTTATAAATCTCCAATGATAGCTTGAAACCGTTTGAGGATTGGTCATTTAACTTATATATTATGTTTTCCTGCTGATGATTTCCCCACATAATTCGTTGTCTAGTTACACATGCTCATCATTTGAAAGAAATGGAAAGTCCAGTGAGTCTTATCTCCTGTACGCTAACTAATGATTCACATCAATATTATTGTGTTGGTACTGCATTTGTTCATCCCGAGGAAGCTGAACCGAAGAGTGGTCGGTTAATTTTATTTCATCTTGACGACGGTGAGACTGATTTTCGCTATACTACTATATTTTAGTACTAGTACTGTAGTAGTACTGGTACTTTGGCGGGAAACATCTTCACCTTGCATTTGCATTTTCCCGACAAAACTTGCACGAGCCCACAGTCCGTATGTCGTGTAACGATACACTGGTGTCCACTAAACTGCAGTCTAGGCCTAATTTTTACCGTTGGAAATAGTGTATGTTGTTTGGTTTCGAATTTAAAACGTAGTATAAAATATATGTAATAACGTATCGTTTTGGTTTGTAGAAACACGACTTAAATTTATTATTCGCAGAGTTTTCGATGTATAAGGCCGGATTTTCTTCAGTGTTAATAATACAGGGTGTATAAAAAAAAAACTGAACAGATTTGAAATTGCTCTCAATTTCGCAAAACACCTATTTGTAGCTGTTTTTTATATATATAGCTTCTTTGGGTACTTATAATGTAAAATAATGAAAAAAAATTCTCGAACTCAAATTCTGTGAACCAGGGGGGGGGGGGTGTCTTTCCCAACAAACTAAAAATGGCTCGCGCACAAAATTTAAAAGCTGTAATCATATTTTGAGTTAATAGAGTGAAAATTTGTCGGGTTTTTAATTACTGTACAAAATTTCAGACAATTTGGTTTAGTTTAAGCCGTTTAACTATTCATTTTGTTCTAAAAAGTCAGCCTTTCGCACGCTTAATTAATGCCTTTACCTAATTTGCATATTGCTGACATATGCAAATGAGGCAAAGGCATTAATTAAGCATGCAAATAGCTGATTTTTCGGGAAAATTGTAACTTTGCGTGAATAGTTAAGGGGCTTAAACTAAACCAAATTGTCTGAAATTTTGTACAGTAATTAAAATCCCGACAAATTTTCCATCTGTTAACTGAAAATATGATTGCAGCTTTTAAATTTTGTGCGCGAGCCATTTTTAGTTTGTTGGAAAAGACACCCAGCCCCCCTGGTCCACAAAATTTGAGTTCGAGAAATTTTTCTCATTATTCTACATTATAAGTACCCAAAGAGGCCATATATATAAAAAAACGGATACAAATAGCTGTTTTGCGAAATTGAGAGCAATTTTAAATCTGTTCAGTTTTTTTTTATACACCCTGTATATGACTTGTTTAGTTCACACATCTCGTTATATACCGAAAGCGTCGCGAAAATATTAAATTTACGTGGCATTTCAACAAACCCAAACTGATATTATTATTCGCCATACAAAACTGCCAGGAACTTATTATGTGTACTATTGTTTCATAGTTTCCATGTCTTTCCTTACACCAGGTAAGCTAACGCAAGTGGCTGAAAGAGAAGTCAAGGGAGCGGTTTACTCTCTGGTAGAATTTAACGGCAAAATTGTGGCTGGAATTAACAGCACGGTATGTTCATATTTTATTATCACGTACTAAGAAATGAAGAAAAAATAAAATGCATCTGCAAGTATGATGAAAAAATTTGTGTGGTGCAATGTGTGTGTGCTGTATACTACCTTCATACTATAGTCGCATAAGAAACCGGGCTGCATGCATGCATGCGACTTTTAGTTGAGGTTTGGCGCCCTGAATTTAGGTCTTTTGATGTAGCTACTTCAAATCTCTCTGTTCGGCTGAAGGTTTTTGTCTGACTGATAATACTACACATATAAATACAAATAATTGACCGAATTCCAATTTCGATGAATATGTCTGAATTACTATTACTGTGAATTTGTCATTTTAGTAATAGAGGTGTCCCTTAAATTTACTATGTCTAAATGATAGATCATATAACGTCCCACACTGTCCTTTCTGTAACGTCCTGCAGCTATAATTGTTAGCTGGAGGTTTTTCCGTGAAAGGTAAATTAATCACCAGAAACATCCATATATAGCCATATATAATGGACTTCTTTTTGTATTCTGCTTTGGATGACACTGGTAACATTAACGCTTAAATTATCACGATTTAATGTAATTATCACAAGAACGTTGGCTAGGTCATGTAATCTCACTATAGTCTGTACATGTTGTATACAAACCTCTGGTCAAACAATAAGTAATAGGAAGTTCTGAAGCATGGGAATTAGAGAACCAGTGGTTTGCAATGCAAATAGTCAATTTGTATTGCAAACAAACAACATTAATTACTGTTCACAAGGCATTTTGGGTATTTCACAATCCATGTTTGTTTTCCTCTCTGGAGTGAAGAGTTTGCGATGATTTGCGTCTTTTTTGATCCGGCCTAAAACATATATTTTTATTTAGGTGAGTGTGTTTGAATGGACCAGTGAAAGTGAACTGAAAGTGGAGTGTAGTTTTCATAATACTGTCTTAGCACTTTATCTCAAATGTAAAGGCGATTTCATATTGGTAAGCATTTTCGTATGTATATGCTATAAGATTGCATTATCTCTGAGTGTAGCATAGGCAAACTCTCATGCTCAATCTGTACTTTTATCCTTTACCTCAAATGTCAAGGTAATTTCTTATTGGTAAATCAGGGCTCAAAATAACGGCCGGTCCGGTCAATGACCGGCCACATTTTTAATATGACCGGTCAAATTTGTATGATTGACGCCGGTCATAGTGACCGACCACATATATTGGTTCTGGGAAAAAGATTGATTTTTGTCCTGTTGTGGACCCGTTAAATATTGTGTTAGTTTGTAAGGATTTTCTTCGTATTATACTTTTCATTCGAATTTAAGTTGTTGAATTTCTTATGCCGCCAACTGTTACAGTATACGTTTAAAGTTTATATTTAAAACTTTAATTGTGTTAGAATTATACTGCGTGCATCTCGGCATCCACAGAATCGACAGTCACAATTTATTGAAGTTGAGAGCGGCTCGAGCCGAAATTTGACCGGTCACAATTGGAACTGACCGGTCACCATGATCGGCGTAACATGAAACGTTATTTTGAGCCCTGGTAAATGTATATTTGTAAAATTAATATAATCTACTTAATTACAGTATTGCTAGGTGTTAGTATTTCCTAACGCTAATCAAAAGCGGATAAAATCTATTTTAATGAGGTTATGCAATAAGCAAGGTTAACAACAAGGTAACATAGCGCGCGGAGCATGGGCCGAACCTAGGCGTTAAAGGCAGGAAGCACAACAGGCGTTGCCTTCATCATTGTGAGAAGCGCAGCTTGACAAGCAGTTGTAAGCGCAAGCTAGAAAAAAATGTTTTCTTGTCACTCTGATTCTTAATTCTTCATCGTTTGTTTGCGTTCCACCGAGTAACTCGGTGTGATAGGTGCAAACGGGTGGTCAGGTCAATACTTGGAAGCTTGACCTGAATCCAAGTAATGGTAAGTATCTGGTATACAAACGGCAGGCCTCCCACCCAATGCACCTAATCATCCACACGGGTAAGTTGTACATGTATGTTACCGAAGGTGTTAAATGTGAAATTTCGATGTTTATAACGAGCATCTGAGGATTTCATTTTGCTCAGGCTGATCAAATAATAAAGTCTTGTAATTGCTAACCATGAAAACCATGATAACCATGAAAATTTTACCTGAGAATCTGGGACTATTATGAGTTGCGAATGTCAATATATACTCCACATGCAGTATTTGAAATGTATAAACTGCCCTGCCAGTAATTCCATATCTTGGTCAGGGATCGATCCAGCCAGGAGGAGAGGGGGTTGCTCATCGACACCCAGTGAATCCATCCCCCACCCCAAAAAAACTACTTGCCCTGGCAGGTTTCAGGGGCATTAATGTGGTAATGGTGATAGGATATTGCATTTCCATATCGATAAAATGAATCCCCCACCCCCAGTAAGTCCGTACCCCACCCCCAAGTAAATCCACCCCCAGTAAATCCATCCCCCACCCTCAGTAAATCCATCCCCTACCCCCAGTAAATCCATCGCTGAACTTGACTGAGAAAAATATATAATTAATCTCTTTTAAGGATGAAAACCATCGCCTTTATTCTAACGGCTAAATTGTTGTTTGCGGTTTGTACATGTAGGTTGGTGATCTAATGCGGTCTGTGAGGTTGTTGCTTTATAAACCTGTTGAAGGATCTCTAGAAGAGGTATTTACAAAGAGCTGGATAAGCAATTTATAGTAAAATGAATTTATTGTGTTATAATTACTATTTAGAATTAAATTGTAATGAAAGCAAAATGAATTAGGGTGGGACTCTTAAGCCTAGTTTCCATTTGGTCGTTAGTTGTCGCTGGCACGACAAGTAGCTGATGTAATAGAGTGTCAACAAAACTTTATAAAACTCTGCAATCATTAAGACTGATTTGCATATAACACAAAAAGACTTTATTATATTAGACTATTTCACATCTACCGCTTGTCGTGCCAGCGACAACTAACGACCAAATGGAAACTAGGCTTTAGTTGAGATTTGGTGTCCTGAAGATATTTTGATGTACTTCAAATCTCTATGTTACTGTTACTGTGACTTTATCATTTTAACAATATAGATGTACCCTTAATCTACTGTGTCTAAATCATAGTTCACAACGGCCCACACTGTCCTTTCTGTAACGTTCTGCAGCTATCGTTGTTAATAGTTAGTGGTATATCCTGTTTATTATGGCGATAAAGTGTGATGTTTATTATGGCGATAAAGTGTGACCAATCAAATTGCTAAGATTTGTTTTTCGCTTCGCGCGAACAAATTCGCCTAGTGGAAAATGAGTTTAACGGACTAACAAACCCCCGCCGTGAATATAAAGCGTTGTGTCGTTTGGGCAGCGCAATTACAGTGATAATTTGTCCTGTGCTTACAGATTGCACTAGATTACAGTCCCAACTGGATGATGGCAATAGAAATACTGGATGATGAAACATTTCTTGGAAGTGAAAATTCTTTTAATTTATTTACTGTTCAAAAAGACAGCGGTTCCACGACTGAAGATGAACGCGCAACTTTACAAGACATTGGAAAATATCACCTGGGAGAGAGTGTAAATGTTTTTAGGCACGGTACGTTTAAGCCTGGTTCACACTAGCAATTTTGTCGGCGATTTTGTGTTTCTGACGGATGCAAATGAGTGAACTCGCGCACAAAAGTATAGAGTCGGTTTTCTGAAGTAAACAATTCCAAGTCGTTTGCATGTCGTTCTTTCGTTCACATTTGCCAGGAGGAGAAAAATCGCCGACAGAATTGCTAGTGTGAACCAGGCTGTATTCTATGGTGCATAGGCGGAAATTCTGTTTTTGTGTTGACGGAAGGGTAGAAAATCGAGTGGAAGATCTCTCCATTGTCCATGATTGAAGAATCCAGCAAAATTTCCCAACATCATTCCGACCCTCAAATATTTTGTATTCTATTTATAATTAACAGTTCATCGATCTAATCTGGTTTCTAACCGGTCTAACCAGGCAAGCGTGATGCACGTGGGCTAATGTTGTGATTTATTAATGAATATGTGCATGAGGGTAATGTTTATTATAGACCCATTGCGGTTGACCTAAACATGGGGTCATGCATGATATCTGGAGGATAATTTGAAATGAACCACCACTACTCAGGAGAGGGAATAATGAACACCAGTGTCGTTCATTACAGTGGCGAACACGTCGCGAAATATTGGGGGGGGGGGGGAGCTAATTTGATTTGCCATTTTATTTCCACCCTTTTGTTGCTTGATATTTATGGTATAGATTGTATTAGTATAGGTAATCATGCAATGGCGAGTACTATTAATCCCTAATTCTACGAGCAACATTGCATGATTACTTGTTTATTATTAGCATGACAAAATTGGATACTTCTCAATGTTAACATCATATATTCTCTCGCCAAAGCCCAGTCCTGCCAGATTTTCAACCAAAATTTGGTGCTTTTGTCCGTATTTTCATTTAGTTCTTTTGTTAAAGCAAAATTTGGTGCTTTTGTTCGTATTTTCATCTAGTTCCTCTAGGGCAATTTCATTTCACATTTGTGTTCAAAATACCTTTCCGCCATTTTGTTTGTTTTGGGAAAATCATTAATTGTACTGCAGTACAATTAATGAAATAATTGTACTCCTCCATCAGCATCCAGTAATTTTCTCATGCTAATAATAATAAATGTAACTTGTTGTGATATTATAAATTCCAGGCTTCACTACGGTTTGCTTGTTTCTGGGACTGCATGCATGCAGGCTACCTGTTCTGCTATTTGAACGTGTATTTTTTCTGTTCTCAGGATCTCTGGTAATGGAACATCTTGGCGAAACGTCCAATCCATTTCAGGGAACTGTCTTATATGGTTCTGTTACCGGAGCAATTGGTAAATATATTATGTACATATTTATCAACGTATAGTTCTAGGTAACGAAGCGAGGTAACGCATGAGTCGTTTTACCGAGTGCCGTTTTCTGCTTATTTTGCGAGAAATTAATGGACAGTAGGCAATATTCACCTGATAATTATTTTGTTGTAAATTTCCATGTAAAATGTTAACCGCCTTCTTCAGTACGTTTGGAGAATTTGTTTGAAGATTGCCATCATGGTGATTGTATTTTCACTGTGATGATTTATAAATCGATCAGGTTATTATAATATTTCCACTCTGGGTGGAATATAAACATTGCGAAAGGCAAAAAATGATCACAATCTTGTTGATTATTTTATTTGACCATCTTGATATTGTTCCTATAATTCTTTGTTTGCAATGACGTAATTTTGGGATTTCAGTTGATGGGCAGGTATAACAAAAAAGGCTATTTTAATGTATTGATCGAGTTTAGAGACAGTTTAAGACTCAAAAGATGAATTACCGTTCAGTTTTTCTTGCTACAACTATTCTGATAGGAGAGAAATCGTCCACAAGTTGTTTGATTGCCCGTCATTTGGATGAAAAGTCACGTGATTGCAATAAAAGAATAGCTGATGTTGATAAAATAGAGGGATGTACATAATTGTTGCGTCAGCAGTTCTTGCTTGAAATCAAGAATTTTACAGTTTCATGTTCGTGTTTTGAAACAAGCACGTGTCACTGCACGGTTACAGGTAAACTACGTGAAGCGTTCCTCTTTTGACTTCGTAACTCATTTGGAATTTTCCTCATTAGCTTTGCAAATTTGAAAAACTCTTTGCAAATCCCTTGAGGGAATTTGCAATGTTCCTATCGGCTGTTGCAATATTCCAAACTTCATTTAAAATTTTCCTAACTTCCTGTTTTAATTTCCTAACTTCCTGTTCTGTTCTGAGCGTTGTTATTGGTCGATTATTTTTGTTAGCCAATTGCAACGCCCAGAACAGAACAGGAAGTTAGGAACTTGTAACAGGAAGTTAAGAACTTCTAACAGGAACTGAGGAAAATTTTTTTGGCTTTTAGCAACATTGCAAATTCCCTCAAGGGATTTGCAAGGGAGTTTTTTAAATTGCAAAACTAATGAGGAAAATTGCAATCAATTTAGAAACTCAAAAGAGGAACGCTTCACGTAGTTTACCTGTAAGGTAATAGCCATCGTCTGACGATAGGTATTACCGAGACTTCGTAATTTGAGAATCACGAAACCAGATTCATGTATATGGATTGTTGTATTCCCTGTATATAATACTGTATAATCATGCTTAGATTATGTTATGGCATAAGTTTATGTTTTTCGTTTCAGGCATTATAGGTCAAATAACGCATGATTTATATGAATTTCTTCTACAATTGCAAACTCAGATGAATAAAGTTATAAAAAGTGTTGGTAAAATAGACCATAGCTTGTATCCTTTTTTCATGTGGGGTAAGAATATCCTGAAGAACCATTTCCGTCTGTTTTGTGGCCAGCAATATATGCTTTCCCCTCTTGTTACTCAAACCAATATGTCTTCTCCTCGATGTCTTCATCTCCAGTACGAACAACATCTAACTGAACTTCCAAAGAGATTTGTAAAACTAATCAGTTACGTGCGATCGAACCTCTCCTTACCGACACCATTCTGATACCGACAGCCTAGCTCTGATACCGACAGCCTAGCTCTGATACCGACAGCCTAGCTCTGATACCGACAGCCTAGCTCTGATACCGACAGCCTAGCTCTGATACCGACAGCCTAGCTCTGTTGCGGATACCTCTCTATTAGGGACAGCTCACTGTTACGAACACCTCTCTATTAAGCCTGATAAGCATGAGCACAAGCACATGAGGGATTAAACGTATTGATTTCTTATGTACTGTTCTCACTACGACGCAAAAGAATACTAAAACGTTGCGTTCTTATCCTTATGCTTATGTTGTTATTTTTGCTTGCGCTTTATCTTGCGTTGTAGTGAGAACAACACACGCATAAGAACGTCAAAGCGTTCCGCTTGCTTGGGCTTATGCTGGCGTCGTAGTGAGGACCAGGCTTAAATACGAACTGTTTCCTATCCTATGTCCCGACGTACCGGTACATCATTTTCTTTCCAATTTCATGTGGTTATTGCAAACTTGTTTGGTTGTGGCAGGAGAGCACATTCTTTCTTCCTTATCTTACTTCTCTTTTGCTTTATTTTTCTTGACACAAATTATAATAGTTGGAGATCATTCTCCACAGAGCGTAAAATAGAAGAAGCAAAAGGATTTATTGATGGGGATTTAGTAGAGAGTTTCTTAGATCTTCCTCGAGCTCAAATGGAAGAAGTGGCTTCAAATCTTCAGGTAGTTTAAACTTTTCAACTTCAAGTTTATTTCGCACTATGGAACAACAAAAGTGTTAGTTGGTTGGTGGGCTTATACTATACACCGTTGTTGTGTATACGCATGATCCTTTACAGATATTTCAAAAAAATATTGTCCTATCTAGGCCTTACAGTTAGTACAATCATCGTGGAGGAAAGCCCAAACTCATGCCCGGTCAATTTTGGTAGATAAACGTTTAGTTATATGTTCCTTATTGTTTCAGTGCACGAGTTTTGAGCATAAATAAAACTTAATTCCTACGGTTACGTGACCAGTCACGTTTATTTCAGACCAGAGCGATGTTGAAAATCTAAATTTAAACATTTCGACTTAAAGCTTAGATTCTGGCAAACCTCGAACTGAACGATCGCAAACTCTCAAAATTCGAGAAAAACGTTAGCCTTTGCCAGTAAAAAACAACATTTCACTAGCAAACGTTTGTGAGTATGGACTTAATTCGGGTAAATTGAGCAATCAAACGTTTCAGAAATGTGATTTTTATTTGCGAGCCTCTGACGACCGAAGAACTGAGCAATTTATAGCCTAGGTAGACCCTTGTTCTAGTAGTTGTAGTTATATGACGTCATCTTGAAAGGTTTATACTGCACGACCTGCCATTTCCACTGTACATGCATTATTGGCAATTTTTGCTTTGCTATTCATGTCTTAACAGGTTTCTCACGAAAGTCTGTTTTGTATGTTATTTTGTAGATCGAGGAAGAAGGAATGAAACGTCAGGCGACTGTTGAGGATTTAGTAAAACTTGTTGAAGATCTCACCAGGATACATTAACTTTCATTTTCTCTGGGTATTACGTTATGGAAGTTCCAATAAGCATACGGCCATCTTCCTATGCCCATGGTGAAACGCATAACCCGAACATAAACAACAACTGAGAATTCAGCATGTTGGACGTATATGTCAACATGTAGTTAAAAACTTTATTGATTTTCTTAAAACATCCAAAGTCGCGCTATACCGTAGAGTATAACATATTCATGAACAGCGATGCATACTATGGATTGAGGACATTATTCACGAATGAACATCAGACATGCTTGTACTCGCTTGTCTCCATTAGGTGCATGACTTTAGACAAGAGAAATCAGCGTTGGCCGATCACGTGTGTCAAACAACACACGAGACTGCATAGGAAGACCCGCCGGTCATTACCAGAAACAATCGTTGGGGTCACCGTCATGCAGATGACGTCATCAACCAAGTATAAAACGCCACGTTGCGACTAAGCCTGGTCCTAAGGCCTTCTATGTATATTTCAAAGCTTTTCCACATGAAAAGACTGGGACCTGGTAAAACACCCTAGGTCTAGGCGCTAGGGCAAAATTTGTCGGATTCAGTACGAATCCGGGATGTTTTCATTTCGGATTCGTTTTGCCGTTTGCACTGCTAAGCATAGGCTACGTCATGGACTCTAGCTCGATTGGCGAAGCAATAGCCTACGTCGTATAATGAGCATGAACCCGATACAAAATAGTTAGAATATAAACCCAGATGCTTTTACGAATTCGGAAACTTTTACTTTTAGTGTAAACATAGTCTTAGGTCGCCCCTGATGAAGACACTAGTCTGAAGTGTCGAAACGTTGGGTCTGAAAAAAATATCTGATGCGCGAAAAAAATGTGTGACAAATTTCAAATGCTTGCATAAGGTAGACCGTTTGAAAAGTTATGGGGTGGGCAGGAGGTGGGAAAAAAACTCAACGGAAAACAAACAAGAAATTCGTGCAGAGGTAAAATTTCGGCACAATCAGACGGCCGGGAAAAAATTCGTGCACGCTCAAAGCCCTCCCCCCCCCTCTCCCCCATCACTTTTCCAATGATCCTAAGAGGGAAGAGCCTGCGAACGATGTTCAGTTTAAGGCATGCAAAATAAATGTACAGTGTTTAAAAATGTCCGATCGCGCATTAACAGACAGAATTTTTTGTGGCGATGCTATATAGGCAGCTCAAAAATGCGTGTTTTTTTCTCTTATGAAGCTACTTATGTCCATGGGAACAAGGTCGATTTATGTCTTGAAACGTTTTTAAGCTTGTGCGTGAAAATATTCCACGCTCGCGTTTGCGTTCACGAGTCTACTTTATCTAATATTAAATAGATCAACCTCGTTCCAAGGGTGTATTAGACATACTCAGGTTAGCACGTTAACCAGTTCTGATTGGTCTAGGGTTCTTCCATCACACTGAGGTTGCTGAGGTGAGCAACATCGAATCTTTAATTTCGAGATTGACCTCAACTGCAATGGGTCTGTTCGTATTGTTCCGTATTTGGCTGTTAATAGTGATAGCGCGCCTATAATTGATATAAATACTGCTTTTATTTTTGATGGAGTGAACCGCCAAATTATTTTGTCTTACACTTGCAGGATTCTGCTCTTCACGTTGAGACCGGTGATTGTAAAGACAGAATAGCCGTGCGGAGTGACTGGAATTGATTAGGTTTGGGTTAGGAGACTTACAAGGTTAGGAGATAGGGTTAGGATCCTTGCTTTTGCCAGGGTTCTCTCCAGCTCGCGGCCAGCACATAAGGGAACCCTTGGGTACGAGGTTGGGTTAAGGATTAGGATTGGGGTTAAAAAATGTCTCGGAATTTGCGTTTGTATGCCATTCCACCTTTTACATGGGACTAACCACTGAGCTATTTTGCTCTCTCTATTTTTTTTTTAATCTGGCTTCGAAACTTAGTAACTTACCGTGTCTAGAAAAAATAAAATGCATTTTTTTCGATTCATCACTTGCTGGCATGAAACTGACATGAAGTATTTGTTCTAGTCTAACTGTGACTGTGGGCTCACAAGAAAAACGCGGGAAGTTAGTAATTGGAACAAAATAGACTGATTGCCCAGAGATTTTTCGTTTATTTTTAATATTGATCCATTTACTGCAATATTTTTGATATTTCGAACGCGATCATTATGCCATCGCAAGTAGGAGGCGAAATTTTGAACGAAGTTCAATCTCGATATGGATATTTATTGAAACCAATTCGTGATCTGTTTAAAAACTGGGAAATAAATATTGCCGGTGAACTGGAGGAATATTTGAATGAGGTAAGGATTTAATATCTTTTGGAGCTGTTTATATTATCGAAGCTAGGCAGGACAATACATTAGATCCCACTTGTAATGTAGACTCTATTGTGTGTTTATATGATTCTGCCACTAGCTATTAAACTATCCTATATTGTAGCCGATATCCCACCAAGACTAGGATGGAATGTATTAAGCGCTATGTGCCAGACATGTCCAATTGAAAACCAGCAGTACAGCTATGTATTTACTATTATTTGGTGCATATGTCCGGTGCACAAAAAAGTCCTTCCATACAGGCACTTAGCGAAAATAAGAAATTCCCATATAAACACTACCTATCCTGGCCAGCTGGGACAAACTTGTCTTGAGTTCCCTTTTAACTGGCTTTATCCCAGCATTGTATTTTGTCCATATAAACACACTAACACAGCGTCTTGCCTAGACAAGGCAGGATGAAAACGTCCTATCATTAGCCGGGATCATATCAACAGTTGAGCAAGATATCCAGATTTATTCAGACCCCGCCGGTGTCAGTACTGAGGTGGATATAGACATTTCCGAAGGTCTGAATAATTCTGAATATTGTGTGTAAACTGAATCCACAAAATGCACTGGAGTATCTCGGGCTCCATCCAATAACTTCTGCAGATACCTGTTCAGGGTCTTAGCTAGGATTTTAGATCTTGGGCGTGTTTCTAATGACCAGGGCGTGCACATGTCAATTACCTTGAATAGCAAAATCATGGTTCTAGTTATGCTCGCCAACAATAATGCTTGTGGTTGTTCTTTGCTAATTTGCAACCAAATACAAGGCGAGCATACACTCATACTTCGCACTGACATTAAAATATTAAGTTATTTCAGCAACTCTTGGGGGTATTTAAAACCATTTTAACACCATACAGTTCCCATTATCCATCAAAATATTAAAACATTACGAATCACTTTTGCCAATTCAACAACAACAGTAGATTATACAAACTTTCTTACGACGTAAATAGGAAGAAATTGAGTCTGAAATTCTGTCTGTTGTAAGTGGCACCACCTTATTTTATAAACCTACACGGCCTTATATAAATAATGAAGCCGCGTTCATTTTATCTAGCCGTGTTTTTCCGCTTTCGGCCGCGATAACACGGCCAACACGGCCCTCTAGCTAAGACCCTGTACCTGTTTCCACTGAAGAATAGCTAGGGTAGGTACCTGCAATCCCTTTGACAAGTAAATTATCATCTTGGATAAAGTAAAATAATAAAGAGCCCGAAGTGTGCATTAGGATACAATGCAGCTTATTGGGTTGATTAGACACTTGAGTTGGATTCACTCACATTTTTAACTTTTCACTAACTCAATGTAATCCACGATCCAGAGAAGAGAGTAAAGAGACCAAACCTTGTGTACAATCTGTACATCTACTTATATAATACCCCATCCATGGGCGTAGCTAGCGTGGGGTGTAACACCCCCTCTATTCATCACAGACTCGGCAAATTGAATTTGCAGATAAACCCGAAAACAGATAGTCTGATTAACACCAGAGGTCTTCCCCTGACATAATAAAGTCGGGCACCTTAGGGCACATTGCAGCTTAAAGGGACTTAATAGTTAATGGGTGTTGTTGATGGAAATTATCTAGTGGAAGTTTATATATATACTTGAGGATTCCTCCCAAAAATCCCAATTCCCCCCCCCCCCAATCTGAAAATAGCTAAATTCTGGGGGGGAGCATTCCCCCCAAAAATGGAATATCATTATATTAAACTGGTAAGTGGTAAGGTACATAACCTTGAGTATAAAAATGGGTAATCACTTGCAGGTGCAGTTGGTGAACCCAGACATCATTTCTATCCCCTCATTTGGAAACAGGTGAGCGTGGGAAATGACGTCTGGATTTGTGACTATAGGAGGGGGAAATTCCCCCAAATAAAAAAACCCTGAAATTTGGGGGAGCTCCCAACAGGGGTATTTTAGGTTTTGGGACTTGGATGGCAGGAATTTAACCTGCGGCCCTGGTTGAAGCGCTGCACCAGAATTGCAGGTTCGATGCCTGCAAGATTGAGGGTCGATAGTTCGCATCTACTCCTAGTCAGGCACAGATTTTCTGGGGGGCAGGGGTGCGCACCCCCCAGAAATGATTTGCACCCCCAGAGGCATTTGGCACCGCCCCCAAAAGTTTTTGCACCCCCGCAAATTATATATATTTTGATTTGATAGAACTTTTCATATTTGATTATTCTTACTACTAAATTTGTAAAATTACCAATATTATGGTCTCAGATCTCGCCATGCAGGCCTAGAAAACAAATTGCGTTAAACTTTTTCCTTCGCCTTTCCGGGCGTTGCCACCACGCCCCCGCCAAAGCAAGCAGCAGCACCCCCAGATATTTATCCCCCATCAACATATGAAAATCGTCTCTCCTTCTAGTTAGGTCTAACAAATGTACATGAAAATTCCATCTAAAGTCCCTTCACTAACTTGAGGCTGCAGCCCCACAATAATTTGCTAATCATTCATTTTTCAAAATCATGCAGGCCTTCATCATTTAAATAATATACCATTAAAATACTGAGAATTGAATGAATTGATTAATTTTAATTGGCTGCATTATCCATGACAAACTGCAAAGAATGAAGATATAAAGATATTACCCATATTTTCCTGCAACTTATCCAATAGATAGTTAATTTTATATGCCTTTGCCCATTTAGTACTACTAAATTCTAAACAAATTGTAAATTTCGAAATACTGTAACGCTGTTTTCTGACCATCAGAATTCTGTCAAATCTTCCCCCAAATCCAGGAAATGTCATTTCAGAGACTCTAAATTTAAAAATTTCCCCTATACAGTAGTCTCGCGCCTGCGGCATTCAACTCGGGCCTTTGGCCCTCATTTTCGGCCCAGCCCCCCCCCCCCCAATCAAAAAGCGCTTCCTACCAATCCTACGGCACTGAAGCACAGAGTAGATAAGACATACAGAGACGTAACTGACCGTTGTAAACACAGCGGAAGATTACGTTATCATGTACCCACTTTTTTTCAGGCGAGCGGGCGAAAAATGATCAACTGCGCGTGCTCAGCAAGTTTAAAGTTAGTCGTCATCAGGTCGTCATCCAATCAGATGCATGCATCTAGTAACTTGCCGAGCGTGCGCACAAAAAAAGTGGGTACACTAGTTACGTCTCTGTATGTCTCTACTCTGTGACTGAAGACTGGTAAGCTGCGTGCAATCATCCCGCAAAGAACATTCTTGAATTGTAATAGATTTAACTACGACACTGGCTAGTGTTTGGCATAAAGTTTTAATTTACCCAACGAAGGCAGACCAAGTTCTGATAAAATTTCATTTTGATTGGACATTTTTCTGGACAAATTATGAACATTATTTCAGGCTCTGCCCAAGCAGGTACAGATATAAATTAAACATTCATAGAGAGGCTGTCAACAAGATCTAAACCTGCTGTGAACATTATCGAAAATGCTACTGGAAAAGACATTCTTATTTCCTCGGAACTTGCCATCTTACCAAACAAACTGTGTTTTATCTGGGCTTCTACGCTTGATAGAAAGTTACGAAAGTTTGCTCTTCCCGACAAACATCGCTACGGACTGAAGTTTCACATTTCTCGCAAATGTTCTCACGTTGTGCTACTTATTCTCCTTGCTGGCGACATAGCAACCAACCCAGGTCCTACAGCTGGTTCACGTGAAACAGATAATTCAAAAACTCTCTGGTTAAAAGTACTGTATTTAAATGCCAGAAGTCTAAAAGCATTTGTTCATCCAATTGGGGACAAATCGGTAAAAGTTTGTAAAATCTCGTTATTGCAACAATTAGCCATTCCGAAGTTGATGAGTGTTAAAAAGTGCCCAAATTAAGAAATGAACCAAATCACTAAAAAGACCACCTCAAAATTTGTAAGTATACAAAGTTTGAAGACGTTTACATGAATGACATGAAGACGTTTACATGCAATTTTTGTTTTTGGGACGCGCGTCCCAAAAACAATCTTTTAATCAGTAATTTCATAATTTTCGAAAGCTTCTTCGAAGGGTATTCAAGTAAACATCTTCAAACTTTGTATACTTACTAATTTTGAGGTGGTCTTTTTAGTGATTTAGTTCATTTCTTAATTTGGGCACTTTTTAACACTCGTCCCCAATCCACTCATCAACTTCGGAATGGCTAATTGACATATGGCGGTAATTACGACGTTGTATGTGTATGTCAGACCTGCTTAAACAATTTAATCACTTAAACAGTGAGATCTTGCCAAATTATGGATCTATCTTCCGATGTGACAGAGCTGACAGAATTGGTGGTGGTGTTCTTGTTGCTGTGAAGACTGGTATACAAGTCACACGCAGACATGATCTAGAACCTGATAATACGGAACTTGTCGTTACCGAATTAATGAAATCTAACAACAAACCAATCATACTTTACACGTTTTATCGCCCTCCCGACTCTAAACCCGATCTCCTTCAGCAGCTAAATGATTCTATTCAAAACAACCCAGAATCAAGTCGTATTGTACTGGTAGGCGATTTTATTCTACCATCAATTAAATGGTCGTCTGATCAGAAAACCCCCATCAACATTGGAGGACCTGCTGAGAATGAAATCTTTTACGATTTAGTAGACGACAACTTCCTTCTGCAATACATACTTGGCCCTACCCCTACTGCTGGTAATAAACTCGATCTGTTGATGTGTAACTCTCCTGAAATCGTCGGCGACGTCTCCGTTTTCCACCCAGATCACTACATCGTTTAAAAGTTTAAAAGAGCCAAGCCAATAAATCGCCGAGTATTCGACTATGGAAAAGGAAATTTCGATGAGCTGCGTAACTTCCTGACACGATATCCCATCAATGTTACCCCAACTGATAGCATTAATGATGACTGGGAACAATGGAAGGACACTTTCTTAACTGCTGTGAGAAGGTACATCCCGATGAGAACTGTCAAAGACAAAAATAGTCCACCATGGATCGATAAACAAGTGCGTCAACTAATCCGTAAGAAGTTCAAAGCTCTAAAACAATACCGCAGGAACAAATCTGCTGATCGAAAGCGTAAATTACGAAGCGTTACTCAACAAATAAAATACTTGATTCGAAGTAAACACCGAGGCTATCTGGCTAAAATAGAAAGTTCGTTCTGTGACAACCCCCAAACTATTCTGGAGTTACCATAAATCAATTCTTCACCACCGGACGGGTCAGAGCAATGAAATAACATATAATGGTGTCACAGCCAAGACGGCGAAAGAAAAAGCGGATCTTTTTAACACTTCTTTTCTTCAGTGTTTCGTCCGTCTTCTACCACTTGTAACCAGACGCCTCGAACGGAAAGTGAAGGGAACATCTCGGAGATAACACTCGATGTAGACGAAGTTGCGCAATTTTTGCGTGCCCTTGATACCTCGAAAGCATGTGGCCCCGACGGCATTCCAGCTCGCCTGTTACAAGTATGCGCCCTTGAAATCGCACCAAGCATATGTGAGTTGTTTAACCGTTCTTTGCATACTGGTCATGTTCCATCTGAGTGGAAGTCTGCGAATGTCACACCCGTCCATAAAAAAGATCTTAAAGAACCGGCGGAACATTACAGACCAATATCGTTGCTGCCCATCGTTGGCAAAATACTAGAGCGTTGCGTGTGCATCAGACTATATAATCATGTTAGGCACCTTATCACAAAAGCACAACATGGCTTCCTTAAGCCCGTTCTCCACTAGGCGAATTTATTCGCGCGAACAGATAAAAAGTAGGAAGCGATCCTACTTTTTCGCCGCGAATTTTTTCGCCGACCAATCACGTTGCCGGATTTCGGTTTTCGCTTCGCATCGCGCGAACAATTTCGCCTAGTGGAGAACGGGCTTAATAGGGACATTTTGGACAACGTCTACTCTACACCGAACGCACTTCACTAATCTAAGATTATTACTAGTTATATATGTTTGTTTTTTGTCCTGTTATGTTATCATATAGATATCTTATATGTATGCTGTTTCATCGGCAAAGTTTATAAATTAAAAATAAATTAAATTTAATTAATCGCTTTTCTATATAATAAACCGGAAACGTTTAATAAACCTTCGAATATTTTTCGGTCTGTGAGATACAAATCCTCATTTTTCTCGCATAAAACTTATTTGCAGCAAAATAATGAAGACAGAATTGTATTATTGCGAGTATTTGTAAAAATTGAAGAATGTTTTGTTCAGATTGAGAACTTTTATTATATTTGCTGTAATGATACTGGGAATTCGTAGCTATTTTCTGCACAGCATGTATGTCAAATATCATTCTCATACCCAGAGCCCTTCTTACGCGTGTTCGACCGAGTGTGACGAAGTGACCAAATCCATAACCGGATACCATAAAAACATGGTAAGAAAACAATATCCGGTGTTAGAACTAGCCAATCAGATGCCAGTTCGGATATGGATTTGGCCAGAGCCCCTCGTCGCACCGCACGTAAGAAGGGCTCTGGGTACGAGAATGGTCAAATATCAATTCGTGGAATGCATATGTTACTCCATGCTCCCTTAAAAGTAATCCTCAACCTGTTTCTAAACTATACATTGCTTTCCCTTATGCTTTCCGCTTTATGTGAATATAAATCACGTTCAAAATTAATCTGTTTTAAACTGAAATTAAAAATAATTGATGTACAGTATACCGAGAAAATCCCTTTAATTACTGTAAGAGGAATTCCATTCCGAAATGATTATAAATGCTGAGTCATTTTAAGCGAAAGTGAAATTACAAGAATTTACTTTCGCGGTAGTGTAGTACAAAAGTCAAGATTCTAAATACTGGCTTGTTTTGTCGTGTGGGATTTTAATTTAATATACAAGACATAAAAATTAAAATGTCGTCCGCCGCAATGCAAAATCATTTAAAGAACTCGGGCTACAAAATTCAAGCAATAGACCCCAAAAATGCGGACAAATATGATTCCTCGATTCCCCTTATACTGCCAAACGATCACGAGTATGATTTAAAGACGAAAAGTATTATAAAGAAAGCTGGTGTCCAGCGAACGAGTTTGTATCTGGTGCCAGAAGCTTTGGAGTTGCTGAGTTCTGTTACATCACCGCTGGCTGTTCTGTCGATATGTGGACCAATGCGAACGGGAAAGTCTTATATTTTATCAAGGTAAGTCGTTCGGGGTCATTTAGATTTTCAATATGAATACAGGGTGTCTAAAAAAAAACGCTATGCAAATTCAACAGGCTGTTGACTTGTTGTGCATCATAAACTTAGCTAAACAATTCAATTTTTACATTGGACGAAAGAGCTGTTATTTAGCTTCTCTATGATACCTTCTCTAAATCGTAACGATGAGAAATGGCCACATACTCGCCAAATAAAAATTGCCGGTCGAAATCACATTCTTCCACCGTTGGGAGTCGCATGAAAAACGACAATAAATAACATTGAATGAATGTTAAATTATCTAAAATAAGCTCAACTCGTCAATCTTCGTCTTAGTGATACCATAAGAACGTCCATTATTGCATTAAACATGGATCAATTAACCACTGCCCAGAGAACATTCGTAATCAAAACGTTTTACGAAATAAGTACCTTGCAGAAGGCTCGCGTTGCTTTTGGATTTATTAATTTTGTATAATTAATGTATTTTCAATTCCCAACGAACAGTGGCACCCGATTAGCGCGTTTGACGCCGGCTGACAGCCGGAAATTTTGTCTCCGATTGCTCGGCTGCCAGCCGGGCTGTACTATAGTATACTATCCGTTCAAAAAATGCGCGCATTTCGGAGACTGGTTCTAGAATGTTTCATAAGCAGAAAA